TTGCACAGACTATAGTGGAATGAAAGAGCTGCTGTGACTTCCACCAGAAATCATGATGAATTTCTTTGCTGTGCCTGCTGCCCTTTCTGCTTTAGACTCAGACAATCATCCTGGTATGTAATCTGAATGAAGTACAGGAATAGTTTCAATGACACTTCTGATTAGTTACGTACTCGAAGTTCGGCACATGCCGAACACCTTCCTGAACGGAGGCTCATGTTTTCTTCGCAAATTTTGCCCTAATGGACATGCCTTAATGTAGCGCTTTCCCCCTTCAAGTCAAATCCTTGTTGACTTGAGAAACATTCAGCTTGGGGAGGTTTCAAATCGCTACACCACAGCAAACCACCAAAATTATAATGCATTTGCTTCTTGGTCTTCCGTTGCAGCCAAAGGCAAAGCAACACGAAAGCTGAAGCAAGCCCTCTTTAGTATTTCTCATGTATCCCTTTTACCAGGACTTCAAAAGAACTGCTGTGTTGTCAAAAAATAGTCTTTGTTTAGGTGATGGCAGTGCCACCGTATCGTAAAGCGTTTACCTGCAACAGAACTGCTTTAAACGCGCAGTGATTGCGAAGTGGAGACACATGCCACACCTGACTGTGCCACTTCATACTCTCAAACATTAATATTTCATAAGAAACGATGTCTCCATAAAACTGTTTTGAAAAGAACAAAGCTAAAACAGAGACATATTTTGTCTAAAGTATGTAAAATCTTTACCCCTTATAAAGAGATCAATACAGAAAACAAGTGAAAACAGTATCTGCCTTATATATAGGAACTATTGAGTTTTTCAGAATGAATGTCTTTGAAATAATTTTGCTCATAGGTTGTCCGAGTTCTAGAAAAAGGTACCTTTTACCATGCCTATTCCCTTTCAGCAGACTCTGGGTTCCCAGTCTCCATAAGGGACTTCTGTCTAGCCCCTCTTTTTTTCTTCTGATTTTCTTTCACTGTAATTTTCATCATCTTTCTGTTTTCGGAGTCTTGCTATTTGTGCTCACTATTCTTTCCTCCCCCATATCCTGGTTTAAATATTCCAGTCCCACTGAGATTTTTATTCCAACCTCCTCCCTCGTCTTTCATTTCTTAGACTTCTTTTTTTATCCTGCTTTTTTTTTCCCCTCTTAAAATAATGTTCAGGGAATTGAGAAGCCAAAATGGTTCACATTACCACTGAGGCATCTCTAAATGCCAAATAAATAAGCCCTTTGAATAGTGACATTCATTCCAGCGAGATGCCAAAACATCATAACAAACAGCAAGAGGAACACGTGCATGCTCTTCATGCTGCCATGGAGTGGACTGCCCTTCTTCCTCACTGCAAGTCAAAAAGAAAGACCAGAAGAGCTGAGATGTCCAAGATTTCCAGTCTGTGAAATCCTTGTAAAGAAAAATTAATTTATACCCTTGAAACTCACTTAGGGGAGGAGCAGAAAAGCAATCAAAACCTTTTTTTCCGGTCCAAGTTCACTACCACTTTTCATCAGAGGATTACCTAAAGGCCAAGCAAAGATTGTTCTAGGCATTATACAAGAAGGCCAGGCTGGATTGGGCTTTGAGCAACCTGGTCTAGTGGAAGATGTCCCTGCCCATGGCAGGGCCATTGGAACTAGATGATCTTTAAGGTCCCTTCCAACCAAAACCACTTTTTGATTCTATGATTGTACAAGCACAGCTGCAGTCAGCCTCTGAGTTCGTTACCTTGAGAAAAGGAACACCAAGGAAAGGTACAGCTTGAAAGCAAAATGAAAAATGATGAGACACAAACATAAATTTCCTCATGCTTTTTTAGTGAAGGGGAGGATATGGGACATGGAAATCAAGGGCAACCAGACAGATATGGCAAGGGAGAAGGGGACAAGACTGCCATGTATGAAATGACACCGACTTTAAAGACCTGCAAAGCGAAGGGAAACAAGAGTGCTAGTGCACACAGCCCAGTCAGCACAAAATATGGCAATTCCAGGCAAAGCTATAGAGACGTCCCTTAATTTCAAACCTGAACATGCTCCTACTTTGCCCAGCATTATCTGGCTGGCCTTCCCCTACAGCCATATGACAGAGGCAAGCAAGGCAATTCACAGGTTGCATTTTCCTCTGGGCTGGCCTTCCTTCCACAGCAGAAGGTTCTGAGGGTCCTGGGTAAAATATTGTCTCAGATGTCTTGTTTTTACTTTTTCTTTCAAAGTAGAGATCTGCTTCTACAGCTCATCTTCTGACTGGACATTGAGAAATGCTCTGCCTGGAAGAGACTTATCAATAACTCACAAGACCGAAAGCTAAACAACTATTTCCCTAATACTCTTCTATCCACCTTCTAGTCTTAATCATTGTGCAGTTCTAATGCCCTTAATGTGTGACACATCAGGCTCTACAGTCTACTTCCAGCATTCAAGTCCCAGCATTGGTCTGATTTTGCAAAACATGCCCTCTTCAACCTACCATAACTGGTTGACAGCCATGGTTTGGAAATACACATGCAGCCTGTAAACAAGATGAAAATGGTACTGACTGGTTTCTAGCTAGCAGGAAATAAACGTAGGTATCAACAAAGCTTTTAAAAAAAAAATGTAGATATCAACAAAGCTTTAATTAAAAAAAAAAACACACACTCACCAAAAATACACTAAGCATGATATCCTTATATGAGGGCAAGTCCCCATATCCAGGTTGCACATAAATTGCATAAATTGCACAGAAATTCTCTAATTAGGGCTCAGCAGAGTGATGATAGTAGAACGACTGCACCACAATTTCAAAACTAGTAACCCAATTAATTATGTCTCCTCCCAAAAATGAACTGCAGATCTCCTTCAATGAAGCTATCCACACAAGACATAATGAACGTTGATGGAATTTAAAAATATTTGAGGAATCGTAACAAATTTTTACCATTTTGCCTACTGAGTTTCTGTTTTTAAACCAGAAATGTTGATGGCTACTGCTTCCACAGTCTGGAAGTTTTTTAGTCATTTCATTTGCTACAGAGGAAAAATAAATGCCTCTCTGCAGTCTGCCAGAGCCATAAATTACATATGCCTGAAGTGTGAAGTGTTGCTTCAAGTTTGTTTGTGTCAGTGTACCTCCATCTTGACCCCACCACTCTTTTACAATTCCAAACTTTGCTTCTAATAGCACAAGCTGCTGAAAATTAGCAGAGGCAGTGTAGTGGCTGAATGAAATATTTGAAAGTGTTTTAACCCACAGCTGGTGACTTTTCCTAGGACTTCACCAGGGCTATAAATAAAAATGCCCAATGTAAGACTCTTAGAAATTCTGAAAAGCATAGAAATTAAAAACAACAACATAAAATGAAAATTAGACTGACAATAGGCCTGCTTCCAATTAAAAGTAGATCCTCGGTCTACCCTAAGTGAAGAAGGCTCACTTGTAAAAGCAATATATTCGACTATAAAATTTTTGTAATGCCTTAACACACACCTCTCCATTGCCTTTGCTATAAATACACAGAGGTCACACTTAGGGCTTCCCTCCATCTTGGAAGCAGCTCTAGCTTGGGAGAGGCTGCTGCAGGCAGACCACCGATGGCAAGTTCACTGTTAGAAATGACAGTGAAATGACAGAAATCCCTTAAAAAAATTATAGCCTTCTAGTTCTAAAGAACGCATAAAAACAAGGAATTATGGAAAATGATGCAATATCATTTTGATGAACTTTCCATTCCCTGCTTCTCTACATTTTCAGAGGAGCAAGAAAGGCCACTACAACTGCCATTTCAAATGTATAATTCATGTCCAGTTTTTAAAGACATGTGACTGAGCTGGCATAAGAATATGATGGTGCTAATCTGTGGTGATGTAGTGATTTCAATAAGCATAACTCAACCTCAACCTCCATACATTATTACAACACCCTGGCTCTGCTCACTCTTCACTTTCTTACGTTTGTGTGGTCACTGCAATAGCTTAAAAATCATAAGCTTACTGCAAGGTTTACCTTCATTTATAAGGTCCAAAATTAATAGCATGGCTCACAACTCTTGGAATATTTATCGCTTAGAATTTGAGCCACATCTGCAGCACAGTATTTTTCCAGCAGAACAAAACCATATCTGCTCAATGTGTGCATGAGGCCAGCATTACACCTTAAGTCAACTAAGCCAACAAAACCCACCATGTGGCTACAGCTATGCCAACAGAAGCTTTGCCCAGCCTGTATCATTCAGGGAGGTAACATTATTACATTGTCAGAAAAAACTTGAGACAGAGATTATTTAGAGTAGATAAGTCTTGACTTAGATAGCCAGTTTCAACACTGTTAACCTTTAAAAGAAATAACTATTTCAACGCTCAGAGTGCTTAAGAAAGAAGACAGGAAAAAGCACATCATGGAATCTGTCGAAAGCATTTTTTTTGACAATAAGAACAAGGGAGATGCCGCCCATATTCTGGACAATACTTTGTATGTGTAAAGCACCTTAGTAACTGGCAACTACTTCTATTTTCAGTATTACTTCAAATACAAAGGCTTAAAATAACACACATTAGTTGAAAACAAAGGAAACATTAATACCTGGCTCTCTCATAATGCTTTTACCCATAAAATTCAAAGTATAGTAAAGTCTTCTTTTTACTCTGTGAACTCTGAGAAAAATGATGATGTAGAATAATTAATTCAGACCCTGCTCAAAGTGCTTAATGGAAGAGCTAAAATCCGAGCCTGGGCTTTCTCTCTTCCAGTCTTGTATCACTTCTGTGCAGAAAAAAACATATGCAAATATCATAATGAAAATCTATTTGTCTACTATCCACACAAAAGCACCGTTATTGCCAGGAAATACACATTCTGAAATGCCATTTTACCTATGAATAAGAGTACTGATAGAGTATAAATAGCCAAAAGCATTCAGCACATAAAGGATATTCTTTAGAATTAAGCTATTTGTAACATCATACTTAACTCCATATTACTCATTAAGCCTAGCAGATCATTTTAGACAATGCTCAGAAATGGGGAAACGTATCAAAGCTTACCTTCTCGTGATTTTCTATCAGGATTTCAACAACAATATTCTGAAACTTCAGGTCCATGATGGCTGCTACAGTTTCCTCCTGGGGCCTCATTAAGGTTGGTCCAAATACTACCCCTAGATTTGCCACAGTCATTAGGTTCCTCTTGGCATGCTTTGAAACACTTTTTGAAAAGAATTGAAGGAAAAAACAGGAAATAGGTTATGAAAAATTTCCATTACTGTTGGAAATTGCAGTCTACAAAAGAAAACATTACATTTCTTTAATCTATGTTTTAGAAGTTTGTTCTGTGCAAAGTTTCTTCCAATAAAGTCTTACTGAATTCTGGAAAACAGAAAAAAAATTCTTTTAATGGCAATTTAAAAACAAAAGCAATCTCTTACTGAACTTAAATATATCAAATGCACTTAGCGTTGGACCAAGGCAAGTGTGAAACCAACTTAAATTTGCTAACAGATCTCCACTATTCACTTTGCCAGAATTTGTGAAAAGAAAGTATAATGTTCCCTTTCTCACTTCAATCAAACCCTCAACTGCTGGCAGGTCTGCTAAAGTAAATACTTATATGGCTTCATTAACGGATTAGATTTCTGCCTTTCCCACCAAAATATACACAGCATGAGTCAAACGTCTTGTCTGCTTTCGCACATTTGGTTCTTGGTATTGTGTATGACAGCACTGAAATGGGCTTCAGTTCCAGCCACACTTAAGTAAGATCCTTTGTAGTTAAATGAAGGTAAGGACAAGAGTTCTGACAAGGTAGGAAAGCAGGTCATAACACTTACTTCGCCAAGTGTTTGACCAAAATTTCCAGCATCTCTTTGTTCTTTTCTGGGAGTTTATGGACCAAGAAGTGAACAGCATTAACTCGAGATTCAGGACTCCCGCTTTCTATGGGACATAGAAATAAATAACCATCTCAAAAAATAAAAATGAAATAAAATCCACAGAAACACAAAGCTTCTCCCACCCCTGCAAGGAACCATACTGCACACACTTTGCTTCACCACGTATGTATCTCCAAACATAGCAATATTGAACATATGTGCTTTGTTTTCACAAGTAATTTTGTTCTAGAATTATCAACTTGTTTATTTTGTGAACTCATCTTGCAATCCACCTGCAAAAGTATGCCTTTGTTCATCTATTTTTAAACACCAACAGATGTAGTTATTGTGTTGCTGCATGGGACTCATCTGCTTACAAATATACTGCAAGGTGAGGAGCAATGTTACTGGGTGCCACAGAGTGGAACTGTACTACTTTACATTTTAGCATCATTAATTGATTGTCCTCATTAGAATTCAGTTTTGTTGGTATTATGCAGCTAATGATACTGCATTTATGCCACCTTGCACTGGAAACTGCATAAGATGTGTACAGAAGATTCATATGCTCAGAACGCCCTCTGAAGACACAGAAGAATAATAATGCAAAGAACTACTGAGTGCAATTACTATGATAAAGGGCCCTGAATAACAACAGCATCCCTCTCTAGTACAGTACAGAAATAAAGTAAAAATAAGCAAGGGGCTTTTTATTTTTGTGTGTTGCGTGGTGAATAATTTTGGCCCCTACAGGTTTCATTAATACACAGATGAAAATAAGAATCTGTAAAAGTTTAAAATAATCCCTCTCTTCGTTCTCAAAGTTGTATTAAATCATAAAATTACATCCAATAGTGTTTACAATGAGAAGAGTAGAAGTATTTCTCTTGTATATAATCATACTTAGTTCAAGGTACATAAAGAGAAAAATGTAGAACCTACTCTGAATGCAGGAAGTTTTGACACCAGGACCACTCATCAGGTCCCATTTTACTCTAAGGCAACTTTGATTGTTAAGTGTGTTTCACAGAAAATACCACCATGTTTCTCCAGTGTATATTTCTACATTTTTTTTTTCTTTTTGCATATTGCTACAGATTTTATGGGGCTTTTTTTATTCTTTTGCAGTGAGCACCCCTGCACAGATTGCAAGAAAAAAGGCTACCAAAACGCAAAACGTTTAGCTTTTAGTCAGCTAATCAAAATTCAGACAGCCAGAAAAACATAAGCCTTCTTTAAAGCAAGACTATTTTACATATACGTGAAATCACAAACTCTAATTAAAGAAGAGCTAAGCAACTTAATCACAAGATACAATCAAGGCTTAAATAGTTTCAATATACACTGATATGTATAAAGAAAATTGAAAGGAGAGCCTTTTAATTTCGGCCTCACCTCACCCCCTCACAATAGTTTCACAGAAATGGATGTTCCTTACTGTTCCCAGTGCTGTTGTTTTTTTATAGCCAACATAGGAAACAACATTGACTACCTATTTTTAAGTATACCATAACTCAGATCTGCAATGTTGATTAAATTTCCCTTCACACTATACAGAATCAACCTCTCTACAAAATTGTTTACTACTTATGAACACTGTACTATTTAAAACACGTAACTTCAACTGAATTCCTTTACTGAAAGAGACTATAAAATATAGAAAGGAAAATAAAGAAAGAAACTGCTGGCAAAACTTCATAGGTCAAGAAATTATTTTAACACTTCCAATACAAAAGGGAAAACTCACCATCTAGGTAAGAATGTTGAATTTTGTTTAAGCACTTAGCCTTTAACATGTGCTTTGGCAATGAATTTCATAGGCTAATTCTCATTTTGAATTAAGGACCACAAGTGAACACATTCTGCAGTCCTGGAAAATCATTACAGCAATGTGAAGAAGATAAAGCAATTGTCTCAAAGTTTATTTTAATTTTGCTTACCGCAGTTTGCCAGAAGTGCTACAGGCTGGAAAGAAAATCAGCTAAATATCTGTTTGATACTTTGCCAAAAATTTTCTTACACAGTTTCTCCCCATCCTCTTCCAAAAAAATTCCATGTACATTAGATACCATACAGCTGAACTACAAATGCTGTTGTGTCTTCTCCAAGCCTGTATTTGAAGTGCCATAGTGTAATCTGGCCTGCTCTTTGCTTTTTTTTGTACTAATATATGAGGAACATTCAAGCCAACCTGGATCAGAGCTAACAAGGCACTGAAAACATGGGTCAGGTAGCTGTGCTTTAAGGATTCAAATGAGCCAGAATTAGTGTATTTTCTTTTACTGAGCTTCATACTCTCCATAAACGAAAGGGAAAAAAAAAAAAAAAAATCACAATCTAAGTAGACGTTTATCACTATGTAATTAAGGTAATAAGAATGAACGTTTACAGCATCTACCCAAAAGTTTTTCCATAAAAATAAAAATTGTGCTGTCAAGTCTGTCTCAAGTTTGCCTGTCAATAGATATGTCATATGTGACATACTAGAACTATAATGTCTAGCCAATCAAATGGGATATTCTATACCGTGTGAAGTCACTCTCAGTATTTAAGCGGGGAGCTGGCTGAAGGAGGGGGATTTGCTATTCAGGAACTAGCTGAGCATCGGGTGGCAAGAACACTGTGTGCTGTATATGCTTTTTATCAGTATTATCGTTGTTGTTTTCTTCTCCCTTTGTCATTCTGTTAAACCGTTCTCATCCCAAGTCACATCTTTTGCCTTTTCCTCATGATTCTCCTCCCCATCCCACCCGGGAGGGGGAAGGAGTGAGAGCAACTGCATGATTCTTTGTTGCCAACCGAAGCTAAACCACAGCAGTTTTTGGTGCCCAAGGTGGAGCATGAACTGACCCTGAGATTACAAGTCTCATGCTCTACTGACTGAGCAACATGCAATGCATGTAATATCCCATTTGATTGGCTATTTGGGTCAGCCCAACCAGCTTCTTGGGAAAATTAACTCTAACCCAGCTGAACCCTGGTTAAAACCTACATTTTTTTAAAAAAATATTATTTCTTTTCCCTATATTTTTACAGGGTTGAAAATTTTTTCCGAAATTGCATTTGCAGCGCGCTCATAAGGCCAGAGCAGTACTACAGGAAAAGACTTCTATTTGAACTACGGTCATATATTTACTGGCAGGAACGATGAATTCTCCATGCAACTCATATGTCATCAGTGGCTCTGGAAGGCTTCTGTAAAACAAGGATGACATAATAGGTTTAGCTTTATTCTTTTCTATCTGTATTTATCCTAAGCAGGAAACCTTTTCAACATTCAGTAGTATAATCGTCGCACTGGAGACAACCATTGTTATGGTGGCCCTTGCAGTCAATGACTTCCAGTGTGAACAGAAAACTTGGTACTATCAGGAAAATAAAACTAAATACATCCATTCACCTCCTACGAGCTGAAGTGACACCTCCAGTCTATCATAATGCACCTTTCCAAATTACAACACCGAGACTGTTTCTCAGATGAAGATGGTACACATATACTATGTAATTAATTCTTCATTAAGCTTTTTAAAATACAAAGAATCACAAGTCAACGCCTTAGTTAAAAGAAATAAAGGTCCTAAAACAGTTAAGTTTGCTGGACAGTAGCCATCCACAATTGAAAATTCTGAAGCATTTCAAATTAAAAAATTGAAATTGAAAACCTTAGTCATCAATGAAAAATGTACTGAATAGCGGAAAACGGAGTTACAACACCCGAGTTAAAACCTTCATTTATTAAGTTGACTCTAGGGATGCTTATTACATACTGAAGTAAATACTCATATAGCAAATACGATAGGCAGGAAATACTTCATCATCTGCTTTTTTTTTTCTTTCTCTCCTTTCCTACACTCCGTAAGAGAGACTTTTGTCTTGATAATAGTTCTTCAGCATTCTTTGATAGTGGTTGCAGTAATACTTAATAAAAATAGCAAATTAAAAATACTGTATTTGTGTTACACTGAGAGACACACAAAAGTTCTACATCCTATGTTCTTGGGCAATTTAGTAAAAAATATTTATCAGGAATTGGCCAAGCCATTTAAACAGAGAACACATTGAAAATTCTTACTTTTAACATTCAGAATATTACTACTATTGCACCTAGAACATCAGAGCAAGGACCAGAAGGAAATGAGGAAAATATTTTAAATGTCCTAACATTTTCGCTTTTCATTCCACCACATTAAAACACAAAAAGGTAAAAAACCCTTTTAATAATCTTAGCTGACTTTCAGTAATGACTCTCAACAAGTTTACTAACACTTGAAGTTTCTGAACCATCAGTGAAATGCTTAAGTATCTAACAAAAATATTTGGGGGCTTATCTCATACGAACATGAGTGTTAGTGTCGCTAAATTATTTTGCTTCCTCCAAGACAAGTAACAAACATGGCATTTTCACAAAATTAATCTCTATTCAAAAATATAGAAAAAGTAAGTAGTAGCTTAACACACTGCATAGAAGAATCAGAATACAGAATTCATAAAATATAAATAGAGAGAGACAGGCTTACCGCAGATATTGCTTCATAGCACTAGTAATTGTCTTCACTTCCCAATCTACAGAGTTTTCCAGGTCAACTTCATTGCATTGAATTTAATCATTATGTATTTGCTCACATGAACGTAGAGGTAATATGTCCTTCTTACTATTAGTTAATACTAAGAAAATCTAATCCAAACTTCTTTATAAATTCTATTTCCATGTTTTGTTTTAAAAAGTATTAACCGCTGTGTTTTTCTTTAATAATGATCACCTTTAATTAAACAGAAAGATGTAGACAAACACAGAAAGATGGACAAAAACAGTTTAGAAAAAGGACCCACTAAGCATAATTCATCTTTTTCTCTTTTCTTTCATTATTTAAAATGCAAGTACAGCTTTTTGAATTCTTTCCATAGCCTTGCTTGTTATTTTGGATTGCTCATGAAAATAGCCAACAAAGTGCAGTATGACCCTTATTGTGCCATCTACAAGATGGCCTGAATGCTTCCCTTACTTGATCAGCTTTAGCCGAAGCGAAAAAATACTTGCTTGCTTGATCACTTGTCAGGTTCACAGAACTCCTCCCATCTTTCACCAGGTTACTCGGTAGAGTCTTACAGTAAGACAGATGAAATTGAATAGTCGTATGTCTGAATGACCCATCAGGTGAAAGATTGTTTGACAGAACATAGAAAACAACGCAGCACGCTGGAATGTTTTGCAATCAAAAAACCCCTTTTGGCCTCAAAACAAGAAGCAATGGCTAGATGACACCAGAAGATCACATGTATATGGCCAAACTAACCCACACATTTGCTAACTTCAAGAGCTTGAGCTTCTGTTTTTATTACTGCTACATGTTTCTGTCAGTCACTACAGTAAACTACAGCAGTAGCTGACACAGATTACATGTTGACCAGTTCATACAATTCAGAATTAATTTGCTACTTTGCTTGTCAGACAAATGACAGACACATTTACAAAATCAAATTAGGATCCCTGATTAAAGGTGCAGTCCTTTTACTGGGACTAAATAATTCTGTTCTAAAGGCTGTGCCAAGCAATTATTTCTGTAACTGAATATTCTCCCTCATTATATCAATTATTTAAATCTCATTTTAAAATACTAGTCAGATAACATTTTCTACCAAATTGTTACTAGCTAACCACAACCTAAAGTACTCAAGATTCTCTCAGGAAAAAAATTATTTTATCATCTTTTTAGCATGATAGCTGTTTCTGTGTTTAAATGCTCTTTTTTAAGAATAAAACCTTTCACGGAGTTAATTAAAAAAAAACTGCCATCACATCAGAAACTAGTGAAATCTATGGAGATTTTGTTACTAAACGACTATGCAATATCCAGTTTTTAAATAACTGCTTAATAATCAAATTCCTTTACAGTCAAAGCATGCACTCAGTTATGTAAAATTTGATGATGAATTTGGGGAGGAAAATAACAAGAATCTGAATTCTAAAGCAAGACTCTTAAAATAAAAACCAGAAGATATTGCTGAAATATTTCATTTTCTCTTTGGAGAGAGGAACCAACAAACCAACAAAATTTGGCCCTGCCACCAAGGCCAAACAATCCCTACTTTGACTGTTGAAGCCATCAAGACTTGAAGACTTTCTTTCCACTTTTGGTTTGACAGTTGCCCTGCATAACTCTGTGCCCCACCACCCCATATATTTAACTGTTCCCGCTCCATTTTTCCCTCTACTTCTCAAAAGTCCCAGGCCATTATATGAACTGGAATTCAACCAGGATTTCAAAAATTACTCTACTAGTTTTCATGCTACTTGTTCACATAGCAGCCACTGTGCACCGAATGGCAACTTTACGCATATAAAAATAACCGTGCACATTCATGGAGCAGCTTTTGACAGATCAGCTCTAAATTTTATGCAATCTTTCTGACAAGAAGGGAGCTAGAGTTTATAAAAACAGTCCAGTTCACTAAACTAGGTTAGAAGGAGACTTCTCTGCTTCCATATGCAACATGCCCACTGTAGGACTGTACGCATACTGTCATTTACCGTATAGAAAATAATAAGGAATTCCATGCTGTTGTTTTGAAAGCTGCTGGTTTTGGGAAAGGCAGAGGTACCTGAAAGTTTTATTGTACAACATGTAATACCTGGCATTTTTCACACCAGGCAGTATCAGAAACCAAAACTGAACTGATCAGCAGAAACTCCAAGTCCTTAGCAGTCACTTCACCATGAGCAAGGGTCTGTATAGAAGCTGACCTACATCGTAGTTTGTATGAAATCCACGTAGTCAGTTTGTATGAAATGAGCCACATCAGGTCTATTACGTAGATCACAGATGAAACAGGAATTCGTCCCTGACACATTTCAAGAACTGAGCCTCCTGACAGCTGACAATGCATTCTGAATTGCTTATAACAGATCTCCATAACATTGGAATTCCTAACTCTATATCCCTGTTTACAATGAGAGGTCAGATTAATTTAACATTTTTCCTTGAAATGTAATGAGTGTTTTCCTTACTAAATGCCTCAATTAAATTTAGACAAGATTACTGCAGCAAAATAGATCACCATAGCACAATGCTAGTTACAAGTAACTTCGAGGACTAAGTTAACTGCAAAATTAACTTTTTTTTTAAAAAAGCATAATTGCATCTTTAATTGCCGAGTCTCATTTTACAGAAGACTTAGTTTCACTAGATTTTTTACATTAAAGATTAAAATATGTGCATTCACAGTATTAGAAAAGCATATATTGGTCTTCTCATACTCTCTTGACTCTCAATGTACTTTCCCAAATTTTATAGAAAATATTCTGAAAAAGAGACAAAACTACATGCTATTATGCCCCTGGCTGCCATTTGGAAGACTTCTTTTGCACTTTGGGCCTTTCAGACTGTGAACCTCATGGTCAATGATAGGTAGCTTAAAATACTTTGAAATCTCATCAAACATTTTAAAATACAGAAAGTTAATACAAGGTTTTTATTATTCTGAAAAGATCTTTCATATAAAAGGGTATCTAAGAGTATACCCAGAGACAAAGGATTAAAGATTAATCAGTCATTTTAAATTCTCTGTACCACCGTATATCAAAAAGAAACCCTCTTTCTTTATTCTTCTCTGAGGACAGACAGATAAAGAGCACAGATAGAATTGCTTTCAACAAATCACCAGAAAAAGAGCACCTGCTTGCACCCAAACTTTTTTCTGTTCAGTATTTTGCCTCGTCTTGATACCACTGTATTCATCCTACTTCAAATAAACATATGGTAATCTTGGGAATGACAAAAAATGTTTCTAATTCTAAAAAATAACTAAAAGCAGATGCTGGAATCCCCAGTAAACTCTTCCAGCTGCTACTGAACCACTGGCAACCTGAGTTTATTTGATTTGGATACCACTAATGGCAAAGAGGAAAATCTGCCTGCCAGACCTGCACGCCCAAGCTAAGCTAGTAAGTCAAAACTGACAAACATCTTACAATATCAAACGCATTTGACTGAGACTCTATGAGTGATAACACATCATTCCTCCTATGGTCAATGTCTAAAGATGGTTGTTGTTTATTGAAGCTAACTCCAACATAGATACACAACCATCAGAATCTGTTACAGATCAGTAATTTTTATTAATCCCAGTCTGTATTTCCAAAAAGAGCCTTTTGCTACAATACTTTAAAGATACAGGCAGGTTTATGTGTACTAATGGAGAACTTCAGGGTGCTGTTAATATTGATGAAAGTAAGATACCATAAATTAATATTTAGCAAGGTCATTATGACAGATTGGTATGACACACAGGTCCCCAAGCCTGATGTCTTATCATTCCTGAAGAGACAGCCTGTTTGAAAAAATAAAGGAAGGAAAATAAAAAGTCTTACAGGTGGCACTGAACTGACAGCAGCATACAATATAAAAGCGCTTTGTCATTCACATAATGTCTGGGGTAATGAAATGAATTCACTTTCTGGCTTCCTCCAGCTTGCAGTGCCAAAGAACACTGTGTTATCAGCACAGATGGAGCATGCATGGTTCTGGAGAAGAGCCTGGTGCAAACTGCAAACAAGCTTCTTTGCATACCAATGAATCCCTGAGAATCAGACCTTTGCTGTCAAGTGACAGGTTTGGAAACTCTATAAAAATGAACTATTCCCAGTGGTCTTGTCTGACTGCATGTACTGTCAGTGCTCAGGACAAGAAATTGGGAAACACGGCACATCTTGCAGTCACGGCTACTACTTTGGTGAGAGATATCAGGCAGACAAGGGATTTCATTCAGGTGCCAGTATGACTTCCCCCCGTCCCCCAGGGACAGCAGAGTGGCAAGAGAACTACAGTCCCTGGATTTAAGATACATCAAAATTTCCAGAAAGAAAAGGGGGAAAAACTTTCTGAGAGTAATTTTATGAATCAAAAAATCTTAAAAGTTACACATAGTTAACTAGGTATAAGAGAGTCTAAGATGTTACCCACATATAAGAGCTATACTACTAAGTTTATAAAAACACATCCTTTCTCCATCTGTCTCCTGCCTTGGCACACAGTTATTATTAATATGTATATCATATTCCTCCTCTTAAACCGAAGAGCTCTTTACCAGTAAGCTTGAACTAAATGTCTTTTTTTGCACAGTGATCAATTAAAGACACCCATGGGTGTGTACACCTGTACATATTAGACAAGGAAGAAGAAAGGTGGAAACTTCAAACAATTAAGCAATGAGCTTCAAACTTTCTTGAATTTGGTATTTTGAATTTTCTGATCAGATCCTTCAACTTAGGCTGCTTTAATCCCACTTCCTTCAGCCTTGCCACCAAGCCCATGATTTGCTCCTACATGTCCCATAGCAGTTCTCTTCGTTTATTCCTAACAGCTAATCTTGGTCTTGCTAAACCAGCAGAACAATGATATGGGGACTATTTGCATGGACTAAAGCAAACTAGATTTGGCCCACATAAAAAACAACTACAGGCAGATGCTTTCAAAACCAAATATTGATAGTTAAACAACATGAAATAAAATAATGAAAAATTATTGTAAAATAGAGGCATACCCATCAACAAGCTCAGAAGTCTCTGGACCTTTGAACTCACCCCCACAACTCTGTACAATCCTTGGTCATTTATACCTATTATGCAAAAGGAAAAAAAAAAAGGCAGATGATCAAACACAGTCAAATTCAGCATTAAAACTTTTCTCTGGGTAAAAAATTCTCCTCAAAGACAGACAGACTACATAATATTAACACAGTCATGAGAACAACATTATAAATAAATTATTGCAAGAATCCTTTTGTTCTTCTGTGTTTCTAAGATAAGTTCATGTTACATTTTGATAAAGGTTGCATGTACCTCAATTCCACTTCAGAAACCAGGAGTAGAAGCAAACAGGGACAAAGCTTTGCTTGGAAAAAAAAAAAAATCACTGGCTGTTTCCAGACTTTTTAAATGACATTTTGGATATATCAGCATCTACATTCTAATAATGCAAGAACTGAACCAACAAATGCTAAATTAAGATTTCTTCAGTAATTTTGCTTTTTTCCAAATATGTGGCTGACAAAAAGAGTTCGGATAAAATAAAGAAAATCTTGAGCCTATTCCCAGTCCTCAACTAACGCTTTTTCAAGTATGTAAATGCTTTTCACTTAAGATACGAGGCCTCATTCCAACCCACTGTGGTCCACATACTAGTTACGTCCAGAGGCACCACCACAGGTTACTGAAATTGGTACTTCTGCATTTGCTTGAGATGAAGAGTAGCCATAACTGGCATAATATTTTCAGTCCCCTAGTCTCAATTCTTGTGGACATTGGATTGCTTTTCTGCCATCCCTCTGTGCCCTTCCGTCCTCTCACACACATTCACTTCTCTACCCCTTTTCTTCCCCTGTTTTTGCCTTCCTTCACCATACCCAGTTATATCCCCAGAGAAGTAAAACTATGAATACAAAGTGAAGGAAAATGGTAGGGAGAGAAGGGGCAGGGAAGAAAAAGGGCAAAATAAGCCACGTCTCTGTCTGCTGCATCATTTCAGAGCCCATATCATGAGAGGTAAAATACTACAATCCTGAAGCTGACACAGATGTTTGAGAGGCCACATAATAAGCAGCCGTCTACAAACACCACCATATTCTACCTCTACATTCATGCTGGCCTGGAAGAGTAGAAATGCCATAAAATACCTGTGTTTCTGCTCCAAGGAAATCTTTTCAAATAACAGATTATGTGATATTCTTATTCAAAATATCCTTCAACAAAGGAAGACTTGTGGAGAATTCCCAGTTTCAATACCAAACTGTTCCAACCCAGAGAAGGAAAATTAAAACCAGTCATATGAGAAAAGTTTCTTCCCAAATAAATATTAAATGAAGCATGGAAAAGTCATTAGCCTTTTAATGAATTACTGTCAGACACAGCCATAATACACAGCAATAATTCTCAATACGGTGGAGAGAGCTCCGCATTTTCTGCCTCCTCCTCCTCCTACCTAGCCTTGCTAAATCTTTACCTTCTTACCTCACCCCCTCCTCTTCCTCACACAGTCTGCAGCCTCCTCAGCCACCCCAGACCTTTGAGAGCCTGTTAGCACTGCTCCATCCCCTGTCTCAACGGGAGCTGATGGGCTACAGCAGCAGCTGTTACTTCTCTCGGTTGCTCCACCTGGGCAAAACCGGCCCTTTTCTTTCCCCAGGATGCAGACACCACTATAGAGGCTGAGTCTTAAGGTAGATGTCACGGTCAGAGCTGGCTCAAATTAACAGAATAAGCTGGATCTCCATTATTTCATCTGTGGTCATTGAAAAACACAACTCTAGTGTATGCTCGCAGTTTAGCTATGCACAAAAGAACGACCCACAAAAATCAGCTATGTGGCCACAACACTGTTCTTCTCAAAATATGAAGTTATCAACCCAACCAAGTTAAGTTTTCCAATGATCACCAAAACAACAGTGTGATAGCATGCTATACACCAGTTAAAGACTGTCAACACTAAAAAAAATAAAAAACAACAACAACAAAAAAAACAAAAAACAAAAAAAAAACAACAGCAAAAAGCCAACCACTGTGAGACTAATGTTGAGCTGGCAAATTTTTCCATGCATCAGAATAGCAATCATATTAAAAAGACAGGTGCTCCAAAACACTAGAGAAATCAGTGTGATTCAGTCAATGTGCTCAGGGAATCTCAGACACATGTTGATCCTGTGAGATGAGCTGAAAGCTTAATTTTTCAGTGAGCAGAGAAATAAGGGACGATTTGTCTGAAGACCATGAGGATTCTAGAATTGCAAATAGTGTCAAGGCATTATGAATAGATTTGTTACAGGCATAAGCATCACTCAGATCTTAGTACCAACCAGCCGAAGCTGCAATGCAATGTATCTGGTGTAGCCACACTGAGCATCCAGGCCAGCTTCATAGGTCTAGGACTGATGTAAACAACATAACTAGCTTTGAAAATTACTCAGGTGAGATCGGTCGTTTCTTTTCTCTTAGAGCAAATGAGTTCCCAGAGAAACTGAAAAAGCAAGCATGGGCAGATACTAGGAAATAGTGCGCCTAGGAGGGATTTTGCAAATGACCTGTATTCATTTTCAGCCTTTGCCATTGCTCTCTTGATGGTCAAAAGTAGTTGCTACTGTCTCCCTGCCTCAGTTTTCCCATCTGGAAAAGGGGATAACTCTGGCAGTCTTTGTCAAGCATCTCAAGACCTATTGAGGTAAAACACTGTTCAAAATGAGTTTCCTGCAACAGAGTATACCGCAGGCGTGTTGATAACAAGGTCAGTGCTGGGGCCAGCCTGTTCAGGTTTCACTAATGGCAGCACAGCCTTCTGGTGTATCCACCACTCCTCCCAGTTTGGTGTCACCAGCAGACTTGCTGAGGGTACACTCTAACTCTTCATCCAGGTCACTGATGAAGAAGTTGAATAAAACTGGGCCCAGTACTGACCCCTGAGGGACACCACTAGTTACAGGCCTCCAACTAGACTCAGCGCCGCTGATGACAACCCTCTGAGCTCAGAGGTGTTCACAAAAATTCTGGTACAAAAGTAACACCAAGCTTTTTAATGCTCTTCCAAAATGCATCACACTTTTTCTATACAACGTCCTCCACTACCTTACAGAACAAGCCTTCTGGATTGTATGCAAGAAGCTAAAAAGCTAAAGAAATACTGTCACAGTCAAATACAGCCCAGCTTTTGCTTATCTCAGAAGTTGTTTTGGGACTTCCTGTGCTTCTAACATTAAAACTAGGGGGAACCAAACCAAATACACATTTACGGGCTCCAAAACAATTAAGGTCAAACCACAGAAACTACCGCTCAATATTAAAACAGACATGATATACAGAAGTCTCTGAAATTATGGCAGTATTGAAACTAAGACAATCCTGCAGCTGTGATCATGAGTGTGTGATAGCAATTATCAGATAATTGATCAGTTTCAAATTCATCAACCTGAAAAAAGCACAGCTAATTGCTAGCAGACATCAGGAGTGCAAAGAGGAATTAATATTTCAACATTGTTTTAAATGATACCTTTAAACATACCTTTAAATGATGTTTTATTTAAAATATACAAACCTCATCTGAAACATTATTATTGCTGATTTAATCTGCACATTTCAGATCTTCAGCACATCCAGGACCGACAATGCTTGGCATTTACAGAACACAATTGACAAGATGACTCATTGCAAGGAATAGCTTACCACTGACTAACATATTGAAGGGTTCAGATGCTGTGCCTGCCGGCTCAACCAGTCACTACTGGCAACTTTGAGCAGTAAAGCCCCACAGCATAATTTCCTTCTTATTTACATTATCTCAGGATGTTTGGCTGTCTGATATGGTACGCAATTTGTCAAACATCCTTAGAAAAATTAGGTATTGTAAGTAAAATAGTAATTCATACTGTTGTAAGCAAGGTATGTAGGCAAGTTTACTTTGTGGCTGGCATTGTAGATGTGGCTGACACAGACTACTAACATAGCTGCAAATGCAACTTTTCATATCAGACTCCATAGTGCAGAAACAGCCATACAAGTGACCCTCTAGATTCAAGGTAACGCCAGATTTTTTTTTCTGATGTGAAAAGGTTTTCTACCTCGTCCTCACCATCTTTCTTATGAGAAGAGAAGCTGGGCAGACAGCTCAATGCTGCCATCTCTCTCCGCAGCTCAGATTAGCAGCTCTGGTAGTTCTCAAATCAAGACAAACACTGCTCTGGCAAACACTTACCTACCGCATCATCACAGAACGTACAACCAGCTACTTGCACACAAATACGTGCACAGAGTCATTACCACCAGAGCAAACAGCTCTTCGATGTTTCTATAAACTTTTACCCCGTTGTATTATTCTCAGTACAGAATTATAAATTGAATACTGCAAACAGAATCCCAAAATGTTCTCTCAGAGCCAAAACACAGGTGCACATCCAGCCACCATCGTGCTCAGTGAGAGACAGGCTGCATATCTTGATGCCTCAGCATCTCGCACCAGGTAAAGCACAGCCTTGTTCTTACAAGGCAATGCTGAATCAGAAGCTTACATGCATTTTAACCAAGACACTGCCTTTGATTCTTCATTCAGAGCAAATAATTTCCTTCTTGGATTTATAAAAGGGAAGGTAACTGAGAAAAAATTATCCAGCCATTGACAAGTTTATGTTCAATATCTCTGTTATGCTCTTCTCTCTCTGAATACCAGACTTTTTCTGCTATGACATGACAAGACTATTCTCAGTTTCCACCCACACTAGACTGTCCTCTCTTTCCACCCACACCAACCTCACACCCATTACGATTAAAAGAGATGAAAACATGGCACACAAGCACTGTCTCTGAAGAGGCATCTGTCCTGTTTTCTTCTGCTGAACATAACTTGTCTTTGATGAGTTATCATTAAAGTAAAATAATCAAGTAAAAATTGTTTTAAGAACAAGTACAGGTATAAAATCTGCAGTCTGAAAGATGGATTTTCTTCATCATACAACTATTTGGCCAAACCCTCTGAGGCAAACAACTGAGCATTCTCCTGGCCCTCCATTTGTTTAGCTCAGCAGACATCAGCAGCAGGTCCTGCAGAAAACAGAAACTGATCCTTTAGGAACGCTTCAGTTAGTCTCATGGATGAAGTCAGGATTTTGTTTGTTAGGCTTTTTTTTTTTTCTTTATTTTCAATGCAGTTGATGTTAAGTTCAGAATCGGTAAACAGAGAATCATCAACAACTGCTTGAAATGCAATGGATGGTTCGAGATCACTGAATTGCTGAGGTCCTGGAAGGCAGTACCTCACCTCAACCCATCCTTGAAACCCTGGAAAAAGAAATATTTATTGATTACTGGTCGTTTTTGTTCTTAAGTATTCCCCAAAACAAAATTAACAGATAAAAGTAATTTTCATTGATAGTAATTACCACAAAGCACTATCGCTGTGTAGAAGGGATAGTGAAGCTGCAAGGTCTCCAAAGACAGGAAACACCACAGCTAACTTAGTAACTCTTATTCTCTTCCAAGTATGTTTCAGGGCAGATCCCGCTACGGGGACACATGCTTCTAACTCGTGCAAGTTTATAATCTGCCTTGAACAATAGTAGGTGAGGTATGCATTCTGCACCTTCTTACCTGCCCCTAAATCAAGGCATAAAGGACAGAGTGGACTTGAACCACAGCTCAGTTTAACCTATCTATCCACAGCCACGAGAATAAACCCCATATCTAACCCATTTTTCGAAATACCAAGTTCACAAAGAAGGTGTTCACACCTTTTTCACAGTTGTTCACACCTTTTTCACAATTATGTTCTTGTTTCACTTTCCTTGCAGGGTATCAAAAAAAGAAGAAAAAACAGACTAATTGAAGACAATTATTTGAACACATCTATAGATACAAAACAAAATATAGCGTACTCCACACTGCTTAAAGTAAGCATGATTCAGAAAGTATTATAAGGTAACCGGTCACTGTGTTGTAGACCAAAACCAGTCTTTCATTACACGACCACATGCTACCTTTTCATAAAATCTGCCTCATCCAGCACAAAGAGAAGATCCAGTCTGTATCAAAGCAGCATTTTGCAGTGAAGGCAACTTATCTGTAGAATACCAGCATTATCTGCAGTGTTCCCCAGCTAAAATATTCAGATTGTAAACACCAGTAACTGAAATTTTAAAGTGATGAGACAGGCAAACCTTATTTGAAAAATATTCAAAAGAACAGAATGAACAAAAATAACACCAGATAGAATATGGTCTAATCTGGAATAACACCTTTAATACATCAGACACGACTGATACAAAAATGTCCAAGAGAAAATGGATTTCAGATACCTCTTGCTACCTAAATTCTCAGTATCACAAAGGCTGCTCAGTCTTACTAATAATATTGTATAGTAAGCACATACATGGAAGACCCTGCTTTTAAGTAAGACCCTGTATTGACAGTAAGTGTGACCAACCCATTCTTCTGTCCAGCTCTCTTACTTAAACTCGACTGTGATACAAAGATAGATATAAATATTATGCCCTGGGCAATGGTACATCTCTAGAAAAAAAGATACAATTCCTGAAAAATCGTAAACGTACCCTTTGGGAGAGGGAAGGAAGGTCAACAATTTAGGAGAAAAAGAAAACTCACAGAGAAATGTCAACATCTCTTTTAACAAACTAAGATATACCACAACCAATCACATATTTTCATCTCCACCTCTTTTTTAAAAAAACATAACCAAACAAGTAGGTTCCCCACACAGTACCATATACAATGCAATGAGCCTCAGAGTGGCTGGTAACTTCACATTTCAGCATGTCTGTACAAGAATTGTTGTCTCCTCACATGGCAGCAATATCAAAAGCTCCAGCGCCCAAGTCACACAGGGTCTGTGACACAGAGCCGCTCCACAACCATAATCCGAACTATCTATTGAATACTGTCTGTATACTGACCTTTGGCTTCTGTCTCCAGTTTTGGAGGTACAACAATGAGCATATATGCAGTAGTAAGCCTGACAGCTTCCTCGCCTCTGGCGTCAGACTAACTCCACCACAAGTACTTCAAATACTTTTTGTTACTCACTTCCCTGCTCAGCTCCTGTTCTCCTGTCTTAAGTGACTAAACAGAAAACCTCCATTCAAAGTCCACAAATGGAATACTAAACTTTGTTAGCCTGTTCCAATAGCAAAGCAAAGGTACAGGAATTGCTTACAAGACACAGGTTTTTTTCTCAGCTGTTGTGCACAAACGTTGGCTTCTTTTGTCCAGATAGGTGCCATGACCCCCTTCTGAGCACTTCTTGAAATCACATTTCTTGAGGGAAAGCCATACATAAAAGGCTGGGACTGGACAGAACGAAGCTCCTGCCCTGGTCAGTGCAATCAGTGCAGTATCTACCAGGTTAAGTCTTTCCCAGAGATCTACAGGAGACTAGATCACACGGGCCTCCTTTGAAGAGCCAACCAGCTGCTCCACCCCCTCCACAAACAGGTTGCGTTGATCATTACCTCGTGTTTCAACAGCACTGATGCACTTTCTGATGACTGCGAACCCTATCTTATCCAATTGTGCACCTACAAGGAAAGAAAATTTTTGAAAAGTTTTAAAGCACCATTACAATTTTGTCCTTCACTGAAAAATAAGGCTGGACTTCACATAGGTAGTACTTCTCAGGCAAAACTGTAGATATTCTGGAATGGGAATACTTCATCACTTTTTCTAGAGAAATTCCTTTTTTCTCCTTCACAACCCTGCCTAACCCGAGTGGAGGCTCATTCAGGAGGTAGTGGCTTCACTGAATCTCCTCACAGCAGCAGCCTTTGAAGAACGGGATCTCTGATTAGGTACATAGGTTGGCAGATGCAAAATGGAGCTTAACAATACTTACTGCAACATCGACAACATCTGAGAGAGTTAACCAAATGGGACAAGGAAGTACTCATGATGAGAAAACATAACCATCAACAGCAGGGCTTTTAGTGAGTCCTACCCTAAGCCAAAGAAATTCCCACACTAAAGATAAAGGACACACGTATATCATTTCACAGCAGTTAATGATCTGGCTACATAAAAGCAGATGCATTAACAGGAGAACAGCTGAGATCCAGCATTCCTTTGTTGTTCCTATCTTCTTTTTCTTCACATCAAAACTTCATTTAAAAGCTTATATTGCAAAACTGCCCTTCCCCCAAACATCTGTCCTTGCTCCTGGGGAGTTGGTCTTGTACCATGAAAATAAAAAATCTGTGGAAAAACTTCTATTAATAACACCAAGATCCAGCTTTAACCAACAACTTCATATAAAACAAGGGCAAGCAATAAATTGCCTGATAAGGCAAGAAGGATAACTGTTTTCACTCATATACTTTGCTAACAGAAGAAAGCCAATGTCATTTAAAGAAAGACGTCTCTTCTACTTCCATATTATGCTTTACATTTTAAATACATGCATTCAGGTTTTTTGCTGACCTTTACATTCAGCTGTGATTGCTTTTTTACCATACTTATGCATCCTAGCAGATGTGGGCATACAATCTTGATTAAGAAATTGTGATGCATTTACATACAAATTAACTCTTTTCTAAGTCAATTTCAAGCATGAAGTGAACTGGCAAAAACAATCAGACTGTTTCTCTAGCTTACGTCCAGTCCTACAATTCTTACATATGTACTAAATTACATTACTGTGAAAACCTACTAATTAAAAAATCCACAACAGTATATTCAGAACTCAAGATTAAAGATAAAATATTTAATTACATTGGACTCACAGAAAAAAATTTACCTTTCTCAATTGTAAAGTGTTAACAAAAATCAGCTTTAATAGTAAATCAAATACTTACTTCCCTCTTGTTTTGCATTTGTTCTATTCAAATTGATGAACAGCTAACGCAAAAAGAGTAAAAAGATATCAATTATTTTAAATAATTTTATGAAACCAGGAACAAGACACCCCCAATCTTAATGCCCAGTAGGGCACAAATACAGCTGTTCACAGCTAGAACATATCACCTCTAACTACAACAGCTCTAACCGTAGGACCTGAGCTCTGTGCCCCCTCAGAAAGCAGATAATTGCACTTTTCGAAGGAGTGACATTTTTAAAAAATTCTCAACAAATACAGCTCCTTGGGGAGCAGAACAATGTTAGTTATAGCCACTGAAATTAACTGTGATTTACATGCTCCACGTTCTTACATTTCTCTGCAGGTTAACCTCCCATAGTTCAAGTTCACTCAAACCTTTGTGAACTGCTTTGATGAATCCTGGGAACTATGTCCCAGCTCAGTGTTCCCAGAATTGTAAGCTTACTGGGGAGTCCAGCTCAGACAACATGTGATAGTAATAAACTATCTGAGGGCGACGAAACACTGGAATAGGCTGCCCAGGGAGGTTGTGGAGTCTCCTTCTCTGGAGATATTCAAGACCCGTCTGGACAAGGTCCTGTGCAGCCTGCTGTAGGTGACCCTGCTTCATCAGGGGTGTTGGACTAGATGACCCACAGAGGTCCCTTCCAACCCCTACCATTCTGTGATTCTGTAATAAACGCCTCTGCAGATGAAATAAGATTTTTACAACAATGATGTCAATAAAACCTACTGCTAAAATGCCCAGTAGCCAACTACTGGGGACAGACACGTGATTGTGTCATCAACTAGAAAACCCCATTATTTTTGGCCCACCACACTAATACAATATTTACGATTGTAGGAATAATCTGCAGTGTGTTTCAATTCTGCAGTTCAGACCCATTTCCCAATATAAACCAGAAATTAAGCAAATTCAAGTACAACCTTGCTCCCATTGATACAGATTTTTTTTGATCTAGTTTAAAAAAAGTAACAAAAATACTACCATATAACTTATGCAAGTCTTGCCACTAGAATGCAGTATGTCAGCATAAGGCTAGGTGGACATGCTTATACTAGCCATTTTCTAGAATACGAATATCATCACACTGATGGGAAACCACTTATAAAAATCTATGCTGTCATTACAATGAAAAATGTGTCATATCAGCATTAATAGTTATCTATGCTGAGCTTTACTGAGTTACTCATATCTCCTGATTTTATTTCATTTTTATTCTTTCTTCACCAAATCTATCATTTTGCAAACTACCTAATCCCAGTTTATTAACGTATAAATGGGATCAGGACGCCAGGGGGTGAGAGAATTTCTCTATTACACTGTAAATGAACACAAAAAAATGTCGCTTACAGCTTCTTTTCCATCCAAGGCTTCCATCCACAGCTTCCTGTCCTCCTCAGAAAACGCCTGCATGGTCACAGGAAGTCCAGGCCTGCAAAAGCACCAACCACACAGAGTAACTGCATTCACCAGCAGCTAAAACATTGCCTTGTCGAATTATACTTCCAACTACAAGCAAAAGCCCATTGTCCTAGAAGTCAGGGTTGGGGTTTTTTTTCTTAATTACTGAACATTGCTCATCTTTAAAATAAAAGGTATAGAACTGATACACACAGTAGGAAATAGGGAGGATAGGGACGAAAAGGGGAAGTGAATGTAATCTGCAAACTATTTATTTGAAATAGTTCATCATTGATGGCTTGTTGATTTCAACACTAGCTAGGAGTTACTGAGTTTTGCAAATTCTAAATAAACTTACTGCTGCACTTGCTGTGCTATTACATAAAAACCAGCTTTTGTCAACCTACTTGATGCATAGCCTTCAGCTTAAGAGCAGCGGCAATGATTATAGTTTTCCAGTGAGTATCTTATAAAAAATAATCAAGTTTTAATGCAGTATCTCATTACAAAACTCTACCATTGTCACTTTCCTAAAAGGCAAGGATGGACAACTGTGGGATGTAGGGATTAGTGAACAGAGATTAACATAAATCTACATTTGTGTTTATATAATAGGAAACTAAAAAGAGTAATCATGTGGTTCAGTACAATGTACAAAGCAAAGAAAGTTAAAAGCAGAACAGGTTATTTAGGTAATTATTTTTATGCCAATTAAAAAAAAAATCATTATATTAAGTCTGTCAATACTTTTGGCAAATTTGCAAATCTCACTATATAGAGATGGATAGAAATGGAGAATTAATTCATAACATTCTCTCCCTTTTTCTCTCTTTTGTATTAAATCTATCTTCAAGTAGCAAAATAGCTGTAGGGGAAAATGTTATCTAAAAACAACAGCACAGAGAAAACCAGTACAAATCCCACTTTTACTTAAAACTGTAACAGTCTGTACACCATGTTCGATTTTATTTTTTTTACAGCGAGAGACATTTCTAGTTTGTTTTCACCTTGCCATAAATTTTATCAAGCCACGCAATTTAATTGCAGCATAAAACTCTATATGCTTAAAATCTGTTTTTGGAGGACAAGGCACACACACGCTCTCCAGCAATCCAATCTCAACTCAGGAGACCCAGCTATAACTTTGGAAAATGGCAGCAATCAAGCAAGTCAGTCTCTTTCCATTAGTTAAGAAGAGGATACTATTAAGCCATAAAAATGGAATCTCTTACTATTCTCAGTAATATACACTGAGCTCTTAAGAGTGGATGAGGGAAGCCCTGCCTTAATTGCCGCAACTAATAACCTTTATGACTAAAATAAGCTAATATTCCTATTAGTAATAACAGTAAGCAAAGCAGCTTCTCAAGCCATACCAGCTTTTTACAAAGCAAAATGGTCTGCTAGTAGCACAGAGCTGCAACCATCAGGAAGATGCAAATTTAAATCACTTGGTAGAAAAAAATATACCCTAAGTAATTAGCTAATTAACAAAAAAAACCCACATGCTGATTTGTTTTTTCCTTGTCTACTTTCTTCTACTAGTTAAAACTAAAACCAAAAGAGTTACCAAAACCAATATGAGTTAGGCAGGGCAAACTTTCCTTCTTTTCACTGAAATCGTTAACAGTCAAGGTGTCAAAGAGCATCACCTAGAGCCATAAGTCAAACTCGGTATATGCTGGATGAAATGTTATTTATTTGCCTTCAAATTAAAGTCAAAAGAGAAAAAGCCTTCCTTCCTCCCTATCCTGTATTGGTAAAATTAAAATTTAAGTAGTATTTCAGAAGGACAATGCTCTTTCTCAATAGCAAGTTGTTTTCCTACCCCAAAAGACCTCTGCTGTCTCTAAGACAGACATTTCTCTACATTTACCACTAGTCACCTCCAACTAACCAAGATGGGAGTACTAGAAACAGAAAAAACATCACTTGCCAGAAATTTAGCCAGGATCCTAGCACCCTCAGAGCTTACAGTCGTAAGTATCAGAATTTCAAGAAAAAAGAATCATCTCTGCTTTCTTTTAAAAAGAAAAATCCATAAATACACAGGTAGCTCAGCTAGCTCCAAACTATGCTCGAGTCATGCACAAGGCTGAACATCTGCTACTGAAAAGTCCTTTCGAAAATTTTACCTCCTTGCACAGCACATCAACAAAGAAAACCCCATAGCCAGCTGTCAATCTGTATCTTATTTTTTAACTTGGATAAGTAGAGGTATAAGAGTGCCCCGAATTGATACCAAGGAAACAAGCTAATGGCCTGCAGCAGAGAGCTGATCTCCATGGGAACATCTCAGTACTACACGCATATATTACTAAAAGAAAAGTGTCTGATATCAAGGTCACAGTGGACCAGTTGTGTCTATTTATCTGGACAGAAAGATGGATTAGATTTTTCCCTGAAAAGAGAATGAAAATTTGTTTTGCAGGATCAAGGAAACGCTGCTCTCCATCCATCTCTGTTTAGCTCCAGCTACCCTCTTGAGCAGAGATGACACACAGAGAGGGGTAGACTGACATTTCTCACAGTACTTTTTTAGCAACTTTATCAGACTCAGTTTGAAAGCTGTTATTCATACTGACCAATACACTGACCCAAGAGCAGCTGATATCGAGACCTTAAATCTCTACTCCCTCTCCTACTGTTGGGACATAATGTTAGAAGAGTTAAGCCTCATCTCCCTCAAAGAAGAGAATGCAAGTTCAAATCATGCTGCAGACTTGTGACAAGTGCCACCTGAGCTGTAAATGGGTATCTTGCAATCTGTCATGTGAGCTGGAAATTTTCAGATGCAGCAGTAGTTCTGCATTCCCTTACCCATTGCTTGTTACAGAACGGTGCATGCTACAGGCAGACTGTGCATGTGCGTATGTTCCTTCTCACAGACATATTTGCAGACCACTAGTAATCATAGAATGGAGGGGCCTGGCAGCATTGGCCACACATTCAAAGTGAGGGGCACTATGAATCTGATGGGGAAAAAACAAAAGCCTATAAAACTTGAAGACCTACTACATGATAGACTAGAATATAATTAATTGGTGTAAGTAAGGAGCGGATGTATTGGTTATAAACAACTCAGAAGGGGTGAATGCAAAAAATCAGCAACAGCCCACTAATCTATATCTAGCATTTAATGCTAGATATGGTGCTCTTCTGCACAGATACAATCTGCACCAAAAGAAAGTGGCATTACCACAGCCGTATTTATTTGCACTATCCTAGTAAGTTGGATTCTCTCACCTTCATAAATGAAGGAAGACTACAATGCTGACAAAAAGCAGTATTTATCATATTTTAAGATCCTTTTAGCAAAATAAACAAGCAATTCTTCTCTTCTGAAATAATGAAACAAAATGGTCGTGTTTCAAAAAGGCAGTGGCAATAGTATTGAAGATGCACTAGATGTTTACACCAGCCACAAAAAGCCTCAAAATCCCAATGATCATCTTTTCAATCTGAGAATCCAGCATAAACCCTCTGTAACATGTAATTTTGGAAATCAGGCTTCAAATACAACATGGTCATGACTGTACGAATTATTACTGTGATGGTACTCTTTCACTATAGCTATACGTACTTCAATTTAAGCCACGTTTCTTCACTATGACAACGGCAATTCATAATACTTTCTTCAACTTTTTCTGAGCTTTTCTTTTATGCGAGCTCAGACATTGTCCACATTTCAGCTTAGATCCTCACTGCTTCTGCTACACACAACTGAGGTAAGTGAGCCATGGCAGTGCTTGCCTGCTCCCCCAGTGACTATTTCCCATTGGCAGTCTGAACGAGTATTGAAAAAGAAAGAAGAAAACACAACAATAATATTAAAGTAATACTAACGACGAGTCCTTTCCAGTGTGTTTCACGAGCTTACCTGTCTGAAGCTTCTAAGTCAAAACAGAATCGCCTGTCTATAGTATCTATATTTCTTTTGGTACAATATGTAAGGACGAAGAGTTCCTCATCACCCTGTGGAAAGAAAGTTTTTATATGCTTGACCCAGTAACTGAAAGCTTCAGTAAGCCAGCTATACAAACCAAGCAAGGTAAATTTACACTAAAATAATGGCAAAAGCTACACTGAAAACTGACACTGTCAAAAGAATTTGCTCATAGTTGCTGTTTAGGTCTCTACACAACAGCACATAAGTTCCATAGTCATTCACGGGACAGAAATGCAAAAATATTGAGTTCATTTTAGCTGGCATTTTACAGCACGACATAGTACCACAGTAATTTAAACTAAAAAAAAAAAAAAAAATTTGCTATAAAGATTTTCTACATTACAATATTAGCACACAATGAGTGTGAGACTTCTCCCATTTTATGTCAGACACAGCAATTTCCATAGTAAAGGCTATTGCTACAGTAACTAGAACAAAGTAAGTGTTCTTTACTATCTGTAATCTGTCCTACAGAACCAGTGCTTTCCTCAAGACCAACCAACACTAGGATCATGTTTACCCTTAAGTATTCAGAAATCAGATAACTTCATCTGTGAATGCTGCATGAGATGTACCAGATGTAATCAGGATTAACTGTACATTTTAACTATTGCTTACCTCGCTCAACATCTCCAAACAGAGGAGGTTGTCACTGAAGAAGTAATTGCTTTGTGGGCTTCAAAATGGGAAATTATTTAATACAGCAAAAATGGGTTCATAAGTGTTTTAGAACACCAAATGCTTACACACATACTATATCAAATAAAAAGGCTTATTACAATTAGAGTAAATCAGGATAAAAATTTCACAGAAGTACTGAAAGCCAAAAAAGCCAAAGTACTTAAGCGAAATGCCACTAATTTCCAGCATGGCAGGTTTTCCAGATCTTTTGAAAGATTCTTCCTAATCCAATATATTTGTAAATATACACAGCCCTCAAAATTATGAAAGCCATCTCCCCTTTGCTCAAACTAATGCGATATAATACCCTGATAAAATTCCAGCAACGTGCTTTTCTAAACAGACTTGAGATAGGGCAGGGCGTTGCATTTACAGGAATATTGACTCAAGCATTATTTTCCAGCTTCAGATATCCTTTTTCCTTGCAACAAAATGCATTTCATCCATATTAATGCAATCATTTATTGTGTCATCTCTGAAGGTGCTGAGTGCCCTCAATTCCCAACTATTCCAATAAGCATTAAAGCCATTTAGGGATCAACAGAGTCTTGGGTCTTGAATATTTCAGATGCTATCAAAGATATCTGAAATTACATTCAGTTGCCAGTACAAATTATATTCCTATTAAAATCCTCTTTTCTAGTCCCTCTTCTAGTACTTACATCTCTGAAAGAAAAATCTGACTGGAGCATGTAAGAAAGAAATTTCTAAGTGTATTATATTTTCCTGATTCTTACTTTAACAAGTTAAATGCCTCATGGATAAACCAGATTGTAAATGGTGAAACACGCACGTTATCTGTACCATGCTCTCTGGTCTTCTAAAAGGAGGCAATTGAAAAGTCTGCAGAATTCTCATCTATTTATCCACATGTTACTTTAGGTCAATGTCTTTAAATGGCAGACTGAAGTGTATGAAGAAAGAAGAAAGAAAGAAGCAAGGAGGTAAAGAGGTATCAAGTACTTTCCCTCTCTTCTGACACATCCTCTGATCTTGAGACAGGCCAAGTATAAGAGTAGAATATAAAAATACACTTACAATTTTCCCTCCTGATCTGTGTTCAAATGGGACCATCGTGAACTTCTTAGTCTCCTTCCTATACGTGCAATAGTGCTTTACCCAATTGGAACCAAAGGGAGCAGGCCCTACACAAAACAGAAGCATTAAATAGTATGCATATTTTCCAGTTTGTGTGTTTTCTTCTCCTGCTTTCCAAAATTATACTTAAGAGTTCTACTTAATTCCTTACTTACTTAAGAGCCCAGCCTACTGCCTACAGTATTATTGAGATTTGCACCATAATGTTGTTAAGGGAAGACCTTCACGTTGACAGAATATTTAACTGTTCCTAACCTGGAAGGTCTCACTGCCCTGCTCTTCCCTGACTCAGCTTCAGGCATACCCATCTCTTCTGAATACTTTCAGCTGATTCTAAAGCTCATGATGACCAAGACCAGAGAACTAATGTCACGGAATAAAAAATTCTCTTAATTTTAACTGCTAGTTTTCTTAAAACTTATTTCTGAGCACCGTAATACCAATGTTTCCATCAAGAATGTTGTAGTCCTCAATTTGTGAAACATTTTACAGAAGCCTTTACTTAAACAGTAAAACAATTACATATTATTATTTATCATTTATTATTAAAAGTAAAATCTCTCATCAGAATAAGCAAACAATCTTTCTATAAGGGCATATATCTAAAAAATATGATTTATGCAAAACATTAAAGAAAAAATACTTCGTGGTCATTCCTTGAGCAGTAAGAGCTCTGCATCTTATTCAGCATTTTACTAGAGTGAGAAAGATTTACAATTGTTCAAAGTATTGACAGGATATGATTTGTGCGACATGACCTTCACAGCAAGATTTTCAACACTAGCTACCTAGCACATAGCCTGCTTTATTTAACCCTATGATCACAATTAAGGAATGAAAGCATATCACTGAACCACGGAAATGACATCCAATTTCATGATACTAAACTAGCTCAATTTTCAGAGGCTAATTTGACAACACATATAGTTGTCTGACAACAAATGTTTGACAGTTCTAGGGCAGGTCATTAGTAAGGGATTAAAAAAAACATGGTTAAATAAAAACTCCCCAAGTTCAGTCACCTTTGCTAAGAACTGTCATACTTTCAGCACCAAGCTCTTTTCATGAGCCACGGTAACTCTGCCGTTAGAGACTTTGAACACGTACTCAAATGCCTCTGTTTAATAAACCGTAAATGCTTTGCATCTTCTTGTTACCTGTAGAAATAAGACCTGCCTGTATATACAATATGGGCACTATACGAATACAAAAATACACCGTACTTTTTTCCTGTACATAAAGATAGCCTTCCATCGTGAAGTGATTTGCTCTTTTATGTTCCTGGGGATTTCTTCTGATCTTGTTCATGAGCTCCTCCACCTCTGACCTTGTTCCTTCAAAACGATTTCGTGTCTAAAACAAGACAGCAAAAACCCATTAGTAGAGAACGTGGAAGAAAGACTTACTCTTCCTGACACACAGGAATTGTAATAATTGTTTATAAAATGAGAGAATTATTCAGGCCATTTTCGGATAGTCAGTGCACAATTTCCACATAAGTTTACTCTTCAAGCTTTCTGATATTCTTAAAAATTAAAAGTGTGGTTTAGATATTAGCTGTGGTAACTGTGTAAAGCACACAAAGATTGTGAGAGTAGATTCCTAAAATAAATGCTGACCTGTTCAGAAAGAAGTGAAATACTGAGTGCAAAATTACTTTGGATTTGAATATTCAAATTTCCTTAGAAAAACATTACTACAGATGTTGGCTTAATTCATGAGATTCTTATTAGTTGTCAAGAAGTAGAGGATTTTCTGTGGTTATCGAGAAAAAAAGCAACAGGAAGGTCACCAACAACTTATACATGTTGAGATTATACACATGCCAAATGTTTTGATCACACACAAGCAGCAGAATGCAAAAAATAAAAAAAAAAACCAGAGTCCAGTTGATTACTATTCCTGAATGTCACTCGTTACAAAGTTTGCAAGCAGATGCAAGAGAAATATTTATTAGAATATTAGTAAAAACAATCAGAAAGTAACCATATCATCCACAAATTATACAACAGGACTCCACAAAATAACAGAGCAGCTCACATCTGACACAAGAAACTCTTCAGTTTGGTCTGAAAAACACTGGCAATTTGTCAACAAGCAAATAAAAACCCCAAAACAGTCATGGTAATACCTAGTTTTCTCCACATACCCACTTGCCCTGATTGCAGAAACTGAATACATATATTTAAATTCTAAGCTGGTATCTTCCCCATTCGGTAAACGTGTTTTGAGGAAAGCACATCCTTCCAGATGCATGCTTCTATGCCTTATTGTTTTTTGTGAGCACCTTTATTTTTCTGAAAATGGATCAGCTTCTGAAAATGCTTCCTCACCTATTTTATTTATTTCCCCAAGACAAGCATATAGTTGCATACACTGACAAATATATCATTAATAAAAACAAGTATCCATTCTTGTACATAGACAATTTACACTATGCTCCTGCCTGGTCATCTGTACCTGCAAATTCCAGACTTATGCTTGGAAGGAGTTTATTCATGGGCACAAACACAGTCTATGCAAGCTGGTCAGAACAGCCACACATACCCATATATTTTATAGATGAAAGCTAAAGATATTCTCTAGGTGATGACTAAGAACAACTGCCTTCTTACCTCCAGGCAAAACAACTGCTCTGAACCTTCCCCATATATATCACCTCAATTTCAGGTCACATCCGCTTGCAAATTTTGGAGTTCAGCCCTGCACATAAGCTCATTTCCAACACTCCAAACAATTTTCTAAGCTCCTATTCATAATTTCCTGGAAGAGGTGCATTAAAAAATATACTCTGTATTCAGGACAAAGGTAAAAAAATTGATAGTGACAGGCTGCTCATACCTAAACCTTCCCATCTGAGCACTGATGAGTCCAAAGTTAGATGCTTTAAATAATCCTGCCAGGATCTTCGTCTTAGCTGTGCAGTGATCACAAATCCAAGTGTGTGAAACGCACCCTGGGAATGGTGGGATGGAGCACCACCGGCTCCGGAAACCTCAAGAAAATTTCTCTCTCCCTTTGTGCTGTGACAAAGCTGAGCTTAACCAGGGGTCGCCCACAGCCGCTGCACCAGCGTGGCTATGCCTCCTCTTCCCAGGGAAGGCTGGGTTTGCTCGCAGGGCAGGAGAGCGTGGTCAAGGCTGCAATCATCCTTGTATAGGGCTGCACAAAGAACTGCGATAACAAGTGAGAAGTCCTGAAAGTGCAGGGGAATCTAGTTGGAGACACGGGATTTTCACAAGAGAGTAAGGCAGTTGGAAGAATCAGCTTACTGGAGCTTGGGCTACGCGGCTGGGTTGCCTTCCCTGCCCCGCTCCCCCCCCCCTTTCATTCTGAGGGGGGAGTGAGTGGAAGGCAGAGAGTGGAGAGGAAATCCACAGCAGACAGCCTGAATGAAAGGGAAGGCAACTACTACAGCTATAGTGGCAACTCTCAAGTCACTCTCCACATCCAGCTAGGCTCTCTGCACTGAACCTTGTACCCGTCAATTTCTAACATGTCAATCCAGTGTTCTGCCAGCAGCTCAGCTGTACCACAGCCAAGCCCTAGTTCATTTTTCCTTTGGGATGTTTTGTCCATCTTCATCAGAATGGGGAATGGGTCATGTTCTCTCACGATCTTTTCACACGCTTCCTTCTGTTCTCCTCTTACCGCAGACAGTTGTTCAGCCTTGCCTCCTTTCTCTCTACAGCTTTTTGAAATCCAGGTCGTTCTATCTATTCACAAAACTTCAGCCGCAATGCTCAATCTCTTTTGAATTTCCTGGGGCACACTATAATACCATTCATTCAAATGAAAATGCAGCTGGTGAGATGAGCTTGCTTTCTTATTGCTTATCACTTCTTCAGAACACTTCACTGGCTCTTTTCCATCTGCAATCTGAAATCCAGCTCTTCAAAACTGCATCACAGCTTCCGTCTCAAGTGTCATTTCTTGCTTATCTTGAATGAACTTCCCTCCATCCACTGCAGCTCCATGCTGCTCCTCACTGTTGAGCTAAGCACAAAGAAGCAAGTCCGTCCCGAAATTTCCTCCAGCAGTGCACTGACTTCTGCCATGAAAATCTGCTTATCAAGTTACTGCTACTCAGTTCCTCTACCCAAACCAAACAACAGCTCAAGGAAACTTGAGACTTAAACACATGGGAAGAAAATTAAATGGTATCATGACACATGAATCATGTCACTATGTATTACAACAACTATAATCCTCTCTCCCACCTTCCTGCCTCCCTGCTAGTTAAGTCATTTCTAAAAATAAACTGCAACCTCCGGGAAGTAGTTTCTGTGCCTTAATTCCAGGTACCCTTAGAGGTCAACAAAACAGATGTACCATGATGAATTGGTTGTTTGCAGTAAGGTACGTGGCTTGCTCCCTGCCAACAGGTCTCTGGCACATCCAAATTCCTCTGAGCGAGTTTTATTCTTCAACAAATCTCAAGGAAGAGACCACCTGACTTTTAAGCCAACAAGGAGAGGTGGTGGAGTTGCTCTATATGTGAGGGAGCAACTGGAATGCATTGAGCTTTGCCTGGGGGCAGATGAGGAACGATTTGAGAGCTTATGGGTTAGAATTAAGGGACAGGCTCATAAGGGCGACATTACTGTGGGTGTGTACTGCAGGCCACCTGACCAGGAGGAGGAAGTTGATGAGGCCTTCTACAGGCAGCTGCAAGCAGCCTCACAGTCACAGGCCCTGGTTCTCATGGGGGACTTCAACCACCCTGACATCAGCTGGGAAGACCATACAGCTAGGCAGGCGCAATCCAGGAGGTTCCTACAGAGCATCGACGATAACTTTCTGATGCAAGTGGTGGAGCAACCAACAAGGAAAGGCGCGCTGCTGGACCTCGTGTTAACAAACAAGGAGGGACTGGTGGAGGACGTGAAGGTTGGAGGTAGACTCGGCTGCAGTGACCATGAAATGGTCGAGTTCAGGATCCTGCGTGGAGGAAGCAGGGCGATAAGCAGGATCAAAACCCTGGACCTCAGGAGGGCTGACTTTGCCCTCTTCAAGGAGCTACTGGGAGGAATCCCGTGGGCCAGGGCTCTCGAAGGCAGGGGGGTCCATGAGTGCTGGTCGCTCTTTAAACAACACTTCTTCCATGCACAGGAGCAATGCATCCCCCTGAGAAAGAAATTTAGCAAAGGAGGCAGGAGACCTGCATGGTTAAACAAGGAGCTTCTAGCGGAGATCAGGCAGAAGAGAAAGGTCCATGGAATGTGGAAAGAGGGACAGGCCACTTGGGAAGAGTACAGAAACGTAGTGAGAGCATGCAGGGATGCGACGAGGAAGGCCAAGGCTCACCTGGAATTGAAGCTGGCAAGGGATGTCAAAAACAACAAGAAGGGCTTCTTCAACTACATCAGCAGCAAAAGGAAGGCTAGGGACAACGTGGGGCCGCTGCTGAATGAGGCGGGTGTCCTGGTGACGGAGGATGCGGAGAAGGCAGAGCTAATGAATGCCTTCTTTGCTTCAGTCTTCAGTGCTAAGACTGGCCCTCAGGAATCCCAGGCCCCGGAGGTAAGAGAAGAAGCCTACAAAGAGCACGACTTTCCCTTGGTCGAGGAGGACTGTGTGAGGGATCGCTTAAGCGATCTGGATGTCCACAAATCCATGGGCCCCGATGGAATGCACCCACGAGTGCTGAGGGAGCTGGCGGATGTCATTGCTGAGCCACTCTCCATCATCTTTGAGAGGTCCTGGAGGACAGGAGAGGTGCCCGAGGACTGGAGAAAGGCCAATGTCACTCCAATCTTCAAAAAGGGCAAGAAGGAGGACCCAGGGAACTACAGGCCGGTCAGCCTCACCTCCATCCCGGGAAAGGTGATGGAGCAGCTTATCCTGGAGGCCATCATCAAGCAAGTGGAAGAAAAGAAGGTTATCAGGAGTAGTCAGCATGGATTCACCAAGGGGAAATCATGCCTGACCAATCTGATAGCTTTCTACGATGACATGACTGGCTGGGTAGACGAAGGGAGAGCTGTGGATGTTATCTACCTTGACTTCAGCAAGGCTTTCGACACAGTCTCCCATGATATCCTCCTGGGGAAGCTGAGGAAGTGTGGGCTGGATGAGTGGTCGGTGAAGTGGATAGAGAACTGGCTGAATGGCAGAACTCAGAGGGTTGTCATCAGCGGCGCTGAGTCTAGTTGGAGGCTGGTGACAAGTGGTGTCCCTCAGGGGTCAGTACTGGGCCCAGTCTTGTTTAACTTCTTCATCAACGACCTGGATGAAGAGTTAGAATGTACCCTCAGCAAGTTTGCTGACGACACCAAACTGGGAGGTGTGGTAGATACACCAGAAGGCTGTGCTGCCATTCAGCGTGACCTGGATAGGCTGGAAAGCTGGGCAGAGAGGAACCTGATGAGGTTCAACAAGGGCAAGTGCAGGGTCCTGCACCTGGGGAGGAACAACCTCATGCACCAGTACAGGCTTGGGGTGGACCTGCTGGAGAGCAGAGAGGGACCTGGGTGTCCTGGTGGACGACAGGTTAACTATGAGCCAGCAGTGTGCCCTGGCTGCCAAGAAAGCCAATGGGATCCTGGGACGCATCAAGAAGAGTGTGGCCAGCAGGACAAGGGAGGTTCTCCTTCCCCTCTACACTACCCTGGTGAGGCCTCATCTGGAGTACTGTGTCCAGTTCTGGGCTCCCCAGTTCAAGAAGGATGAAGAGCTACTGGAGAGAGTCCAGCGGAGGGCTACAAGGATGGTGAGGGGACTGGAGCATCTCCACTACGAGGAGAGGTTGAGGGATCAAGGGTGAGTGTCAAGAGGATGGGGCCAGACTCTTTTCAGTGGTGCCCAGTGACAGGACAAGGGGCAACGGGCACAAACTGAGGCACAGGAAGTTCCGTCTGAACATGAGGAAGAACTTCTTCCCTCTGAGGGTGACGGAGCACTGGAAAAGGTCCTGTGCAGTCTGCTGTAGGCGACCCTGCTTCGGCAGGGGAATTGGACTAGATGACCCACAGAGGTCCCCTCCAACCCCTAACATTCTGTGATTCTGTGACTAGTGACTCCATCAGTCCCGTTGCTTCAGCCTGTCACCTTGGTTCCTGCTCGCCTGTGGTCCTGAGCAGACCACACTGGGCAATTTGGTGTGAGGGTACAATAACTAGTGGTGAGCCCCTGTCAGCCTGCCCTTGAAGGAACACATCGTTTTGTCAAATACACCATGGGTGCTAACATTAAGTCTCCCTATATAGTTCTGCACCCCAAACCAACCAGGATGTTCTTGCCTATAAGGGCCCCTTCAGGACAAACAGAAACTCTAAGTCACACTGCTGGCAGAGATGGGGGGGAAAAAAAAAAAAAAAATGCTGATAAGCCCAACTGTTTTTCTTCCCTTTTCTTAGTTACAGATCATATAGCCCTACCAAACAATGACCCTCCAACACGACCACCACATACTCAATTTAAAACACACCTAAAACACTGAGAACCTTGGCATCTCATTAGTCAATCCTTTGAATTCTCCAGTATTGTATGCATTTTAACCGACTTTGTTCATTTTTAAAATCTTTCATGACAATCCCCGTGTCACGTCTCTAAAAAATACTGGAAAAGAGGAGTGAGGGCCTTTTACTCGGTGTTTGTTTTTCAGAGGAGTATTAGAAACGACAAAGAACTCTGGATTTCGTGAGGAACTGTGCAGCTATGTGGTTGGTTAGCCAGGAGATGGCACCGTATCCCCGACGTTCACAGGCAATGCACTAACACCGAGGGAAGCACTGGCAATACAGGTACTGTATACACAGTAATTTCAGCATGCAATTTTACTCAAAAAAATTAGAAAAGACATCATTCTCAACTTACATTTTGTATATTTATCTGCAGAGCCATTTTGTAATGATTGAAGTCTTTAGCAAGTTCATAACCCTGATGATAGAAAGTGAACAAACCCTGAAAAAATGATAGCACCTGAAATACAAACAAAAGAATTGTTAGAATGAAAAACTCCATTTACCAGAATACGATTGCTGCACGTCGCCTTTTTTGGGAAGATCAGAGATGACAAAATTATTATTTTTAAACAAATTTTCACTAATGCCTACAACTTCTGAATAACAATTTAGATCCAAATGATCAGCTATGTAACATAGACATTTTTGGGTGGTCCTGTCTCTGGAAGTTCACAACTGATCTCTGCTTTAAAAGTGACCATAGACAACGTATATTGCCTGTCTCCCAAACTTTCCTATGTAATATTTTCCTACAGCTGCTCTGATACCAATGGTGTCTAGAACAAGTATCTGTGCACAAGCAGGTAATGACTGTTCTGTCTTTTAGTCACGATTTCCCTCATCATTCCCCTCCCTGCTAATGACCATGTTGAGATGAGTTTCGTAACAGTCAGCTGGTTTGTTCAAAGAAGGAAGCTTTCCCTCCAGTAACTTTACCAATCACTGCTTTTTGTATGCAGATCTGACCCTCTGTCAGAACCAGCAAATGATCCATGTTGCAGTTTTTGACTTCAGTGTTTCAATTCAAAAGAACAAGTTCTACTATACTGGAATCAGTGTGAGGTGCAGTACTGCCTGCTTCTGTTTGGTTCAGGCTGTTGCAAAGCAGCCAGTGACACAGGAGAGAACAACTCTCTTCATTAAAGAGAACAAAGCGAAAAATGTATTGAATAAAGTCTGAAGTTGTATGCAAAAACCACATAAATTTAAAGTATTACGAAGGGAAAAGGCGATAAGAATTTGGTACTAAGTAATTCCAGTTTACTACCCCAGTGTAAACTTCAAATACAAATTGAGCAACGTAAAGTTCAGCCCCATCCAGATGGAGCTTTCAGAAACAAAAGGGACATGTTTCAAAAACTTAATTTTAGGATTCATTACTCTAGGCTGGCTCTGAGGAAACTTCAAATGGTTTGATACATGAAAGCTGACTTCAAAACTATTTAGGATTTTAAAAATGCTTTAAAAGTGCTTTAAATTCTGTAAAATCACACAATTGCATATGTTTTCCCAGAAAACAGAGCTCCCTTGCTTTTGTCCAATTCCATTCCTTCTCCGTCCCTTACGAATGACAGGGTAGGCTGAATTCACTGGTACTTACAGGTTCCACACACTCAAATTTCTTCCGCTCCTGTATCTCTTGCAACTTGCATACATACTCGAGGGACAGCTCGTAGAAGTGTTTTCTGTTCTGCTCCACTTGGTTATCTGCCTGCACACAAAATTCAGTTTCAAAAACATTTTGCAGACACCTTCAAAATGACACATGTACAGCATACAAGTGGCAAGCAATCAGATAATTTTCTCCAGACTGGGATTTGTTCCTCTACAACACAGCTCATTCATTTACTTTTAAATGGCAGCAGCAGTTCCCTTTTACTAGACAACTTACGTTGTTCTGAATCATGAGGCTAAATTTTTAGGAACATTCAAATAAAGACCTTTTCAAGCTTCTTTTCTATGGAATCCAAGCCAAACACATCAGAGCAGGTACTTGTGCACTGCTTTAATAACATTGAAAAGGTGGCCACCCAGAGGGAGAGGGCTAGCAGCTAGCAGCAGCAGATTCCATTAGAAAAGGTGGAAATGGTCTCTCCAATCAAACTCAGGAAGAAAATGTTATTGTTAAAAATAACATTGCTGGTACTGTAAGCTTTACTCTATAACCCAAATAACTGCTGTAAATAGCCAGAATGCTATTGTACCCATCCTGCCACCTGTGCTCACTCTGACTGGCAAGAAAAGTAATTTTAAAAAATTCACTTATTTGTAAGATGCAAGCTTCCACAGAGCACCAAATATTTCAAAATATGGCCTTATTAGCTGCAGTTGATGTTTAGCTCAGCTTCGCTGAAATGCCAACATCATATTCATGGTGAACAATTATATTTCAGCTGCCATTCATCTGTACATAAATATTTAGCTTTCTAGCATGTATGTATTAGTTCATTAAGTTCTTATTTAAGGTACAGGTGCCCTTATTAAACTATAAAACTTCAATAACTGAGTAATGGAAATCTTTATTAAAATATGTTAAAGAAAGGGTACAAAAGGATATTCTAAGCAACTAATACTTAGTCTTCGCCCATGTGATAATACCAAATGCTTCTACACCAAATTACAGAAGCGAATGGAGAAAGGGTTAGGTGAAAAGACCAGCCTTACTATCATACACTCTCTCAAACCCTGACACTATATCCTTCAGGCAGAACAGTGACTGCTATGCTTGAAGAGGGTAAGTCAAATTAGTTTTAAAACAGTTTTGCTTTAAGACGTGCTTTGCTTTGCTGGTCTGTGCTAGGAATCCATCAGAAGTTAAAGGGGCATAACAACAAACGCCATCAAAAAAATCCAAACACTGACATGCATATCAGTAAGAAAACCTGTTTCAAAAAGCCAAGCCATTTTGCTGCATCCTACAAATCATGCAACGTAGGCATTGTTTGAGTTATCAGAAAAACTTCTAATGATATATACATGTATTGAAGGGTAGCCACAGAAAATGACTATGAAGTGGGTTTACCAAGACATATGGCTAATCAATAGTAAGACTGCCCTATATACACCCAAGCCCCACATAACCCTGTTTCACTCTCTCTTCTTTGTTTCTCGGTTGTTTATTGTTTTGGTTGCCCTCCTTCCCTCCCCACTGCCCCCCCCAAGAATACAGTATCCAACACAGTCATTTTACCAATTCCTCTCAGTTCCCCTGTAAATAAATTACCACATCTCTCCTCAGTTTTTTTGAGGCATGAGCCTCCCTGTGCACCCAGCAAGTTTGCTCACTGTTGCACTGTACTCTGTGCCAAGAAATAGAGCAACAAGACACACACGACGCCTCAGTGAAATCTCAGGAACATCCCTCCACTAAAAGTGTCAAAGGCTATGTTGACATAAGACACAGTCCACACACGGCACGTTTTTCATCAAATTTTTGTCAAATTTATACCTGCATCCTTTATTTACTCCAGTCAGGAACTGACATAACTAGCTACTGATAATACTAGATTAGGAAGCTCCCATGCAATTACACACCTATTTTCTAAGCTTGTGCAAGAAAGTTTTTCCTATTTAGCACGCTGCAAGTCCTCTTTTTTTAATTGCTTATACACTCATACTCCAAAATTAAATGCACAAATGAAAGAGCCTGACTCAAGAATTCCAGAATTTTTGTTCATGAAACTCTGAAGGACATTTAAAACAAATCTATTTGATCATTCTAGTCTTCACACATGCTTTAAAACTTCAGACTATATTTGATACAGCTTCAAAAGGCCTCTTGCAGGTATCTTGCATTTTTTCATTGAGATTCAGTCTCATTTCAGACTTTGAAATATGGTTCTTGATACCATCAAGTAAGAGACTATAATTAATAATTTTTCATTTTTTCTGCATCAAGTTCTTTGGCAGCTGATAAAAGCTTGATGAAAGTACAGGTCCTGACACATGAGCAATCCCCATTAACTTCACCGGGACAACTCAGCTCCCCAACAGACAATCATTTATGCATATGAGGGCCTATGCTGCAAATACAGTATGGAGAAGTAACATCCCAGTGAAACTCCAGAACAATTAGAGTTCTCAAGCTCCTAGCTAACTTGCCAGCTACATTAATAATTTTTTATGAAAAATGGCATAATGGCATAGATTATTTGGGGTGACATCGAGGGCAGGGAGAAACAGCTCTCTCTGAGGAAAACACTAAGTGTTTAATGATACCAGGTATTAATAGACCAAGCATTAATAATTCTGACGTAATTATGTTTCTCTGAAAAGAAAATGCTTCTCCCTACAGCAAGTCTCTGCAAGATTTCTCTACTGCCTTCTCACGTACCATTTGCTGTTGCTCCAGAAATAAAAGCTATTACAAATAAGGATGATGATAATAAATTCACAGGGACAGAAGGAATGCCAGGCAAAACAGATCTGGTTTTAAGTTATAAAACAATTTCTTTTGTAGCATTACTTGAAAAAAACAGATCTTCAAAACATAAGGACGAAGGAAAAAAAAAAAAGCACAGAAATGCTTGCTTCAGGAACACAAGTCTTGCTGTACTTTGCATTAAGCATTAACACAGGACACTTGATCAATACATATAATGCAATGCAAATTACATATATGGTAAAACCTCATAAGAAATGCAGAGTTTTTCACAATATACTTGCACTTTGCTATTCCCTTAATTATATAAAAAATTAACATGAAGTTCAGTGCTTCATACATAATCCATGTAAAGCCCTCAATTTAGAAAATGGTAGGGGTACACCTCTAAGTTCAGGAAAAACTGATTTTCTCACCAACGTTCTAGTTGACAGAAATTTTTCTTTTACCATTATGAATGCTGTTTTTGCATTTGCATAAAATATATCTACCTATTCAATAGCCTTTAGATTGCATAAAAAGAGAGGCAACAATACCTCTTGTAATTGTAGCTCTTTCTTCTTAGCTGATAAACTCAAATGCTTTTCTAACAAACTGTAATTCTTCTCTGTCTCTTTATCAAACTTCTTCTTTTCCTCCTAGACACAGAAATGAAATAACATTCATTCATATATAAAAATGTAAGAAAAGCCTCCTTATCTTCTTTCAAAATTCTGCTTAACCAGGAACAAAGAAAAACAAACTATCATAGCTCCAATAACTAAGGAAAAGTATGTTTCCAGCTCATTTCTAAAATTAATTTAAAGGTTAACTTGAAATGAAATCCCATTGCATCATTATGGTGAAGCTTATCACAAAAATGCTTACATTTTCTAAGTTAAAAAAAGCCAAAAAAAGCCCTTCTCTTGATTTACTGAGTTTTTTCGTTATTTTCAGGGATCATCCACATAATGCTGTTTTTGAATACCGGACCTCAAAAGAAATATCAGTTTCACTGACAAAAAGAGCTTTCTATAACTGTCAGGGGAAAAGTTCCAACAGTTCCACTGTTCAAAACTCAAAGCAAATACAGCTCCATATTCCATAGGACTTCTTGATTTTAAAGCCATACAAAGACCTCTGTGCTGAACTCCTGCTTCTACCAGACTGTTGTTGTGCCCATGGGGAGGAGAAAAAAAGAAAAAACGACTTTTTGAAATAAAGAAAAATCACCATAAAACATAAAATCTTGCTAGTAAAAGGGAAACTCTCACAGACACACATGAATACATTTGCACGTACAAATCCATTTCTCTGAGTACCAAAAGCAATGTATTGGAAGAGGGACAGCCATTAAATGTTTCCAGGAAATCCGAGTTCTCAGACCTAATTTAGTAGAAGTTGTTGTAATACAACCCTGTCGTTTCCTCAGTTCTAGTTCTAACTCTGTGTGTTAAGATACAAACCAGTATCGATGAAATCAACCAACCAGTTCTGAAGCTATTTTTAGGATGACTTACTGCAGTTAAAAATAATTTAAAACATGTAAAATCAAGTATGAAATTACATATTCAAGACCTGACAGATTTACTCATCAGAAAGATACCAGTTCAATTTAAACATTTTTCCATCATCTGTCAATTTGGAATTTCACTTAAATGTATTCTACCCAGCATACTGGTTAGACTCTACAGAAATACTTGCTCATTTTTTTTTCTCTTAACCTTTCATTTTTAATAATACTGTATATAAGTGATACACATTTTTGATCATTGAACGGTTGGATTCTGAAGACAGCCTTCTATTACAGAGGGGATCTAAGCTGTTTAGGATTGCTTCTCAGCAAGGCCTTTTGACAAAAATGCTATTTTTTTCCCCATTATGAGCCTAAGAACTCCCTTTAAAAAAGCAGTCACAATATTCCTTACCAACTCAGAAACATTATGATATTCATATGGTATAAGTGTGATTAGAGATAACATATTAGCATACTGAAAATTAGTAAAAGGGGGGTGGTGGATATCTTTGTGTTTATGTTAGCAAAATTTGAGTGCTGCCAGGAAAAAAAAGCACTATTGACTTGTAAATAGGCAAAGCCAGAAACTTTACTTACGTAGTTTGGGATTAGAGCAGCAATACCTTTTACTAAGGGGTAATTCAATAAGGGTCTCAGCTTCCAGCACTACGGAGCTAAATTTTTTCTTTTCTTTTCCTTCTTAAGCTTAACTCAGACCATTTCATCAGCAGGGGATGCAAGATACAGGAAAATCTGAGGCAGCAGATTCAACTTGTATGTTCTAATGGTAAAATGTAAATTTTTCCTAAAGCAAACATTACACAACGTTCCAGATATACTTCACTACTAGATGCCATAACTCGGTTTTCAGAATTAAGCAGTATTATATTTCCAGTGTCAATACTTTGATTATATTAAATATTCAGTTAAGAATATTAAGAGAGTTAAATATCTTTAGAGGATTTTTATTTAAATGCCCACAATTATGCAAGACTGTTCTATTTAAGGTCACTGAGAATTCTATTAGGAAAAAAAAAAAAAAAAAAAAGGCTAAATCACAAATCTGAGCTTCAAATTCCCAGAAACAGTATGCAGGGATACAACAAGGGAAGAAACACCCACACAAACAAAATGCAGAATGTAGACTGTGTGAATGTAACTTGTCATGCTTGAAACATCAATTCTGACTAGGAAATAAGTGAAGATCACGAGATAATTTAAAGCACTAGGAGTTCTCACCCCACCAATGACAATGTTCTTTAACACCAAAAATACTGTTGAAATAATCCATTCATTAAGGTTGCTTCTATGACAATAGGTTACATTTAGAATTAATTCTCTTTTTCCTTGGAAGACTCCTTATTGTGTATTACTTGGAACATCTGATATACTTCTCAAAAGTCCATACAATCACACAAAGCTCATTGTACTACTGAACTGTAATGATTTATGATCAACAGAACATTTTCCATTCATGAACACTAAAATCATATTCAGAACATGTTAATCACTCCTGTTGAAGTCAAAATGTATAGCGCTCATAATGGAAACTTTCATCTGAGCTATTTAATATCACTTATGATGAAATCATGAAATCATAAAATAAAACACCTGTAGAGTAAAAATGTATAAATTGAGTTTTGCAACAGAAAACTGTGTTAAACAGCTGGGGGCTTTTATTTTCTTTCCTTTTTTTTAATAAGCATTTAAATTTCTCACTGAAAGAAGGAAGGTAGACAGTTAAAAAGAGGTCAAACTTGTCCTTGTTTCTTTTATCCAAAGCTAGTCTGTATTTCATATATGAAGTTTACTTTGCTTTTTTTTCCAATATACACAGCAATCTTAAAAAAAACCCCAAACATCCACCCAACTTTGAATGAGATCTTATCTTTAGCCTCTCCAGCCCTATTTTTCTCCACTCATACAGAGGCAACAAGTTATTCCAGACCAAAAAAAATAAAATAAAGGCAATTTTCACTTTGCAGGTTACAAAAATGCAGTTAAAAGTGTATGGATGAGCAAGCTCCTTTGGGTAGTTAATATTTTTCAGCCTTTGATTGTGCAACTGCACGCAAACACAAAGCAGAGCAGGGTTACCCATTAGGAAGGGGGGCTGTTAGCAGGATTGCTTCTGTTCCAGACACAAGAGATAAGGGAGGGGGACGAGAAGGGAAAGGACACATTCTTCTCTTCTTGAAACATACTTTCCATTTGTTTCTGAAGCAAGTTCTCAAAGTAGGAAAAAAAAAAAGTGTTAATATGTGAAATATAAACAACAGTATCTCTCTGCCAAATACATGTCATTACTGCAATGCAATCCAAGTAGAAAAATTAAACAAACTTATCATAAAGGGAATGAGGGGACAAACCTTTACAGCTCCTAGCTGTTCTTTCCTAAATCTTTCCAAAGGTTTGATCAGAGTTTCAGTAACACTCAGTGCCTAAAAAAAAAAAGCATGGGTTATGTTTCTGTTGCCAGACTGACAAATCACTTCAGCATCAGCAATTAAAAAAAAAAACCAAAACACGCAAGCAGGCTCTGGGGTGAAACACAGGAGAAGCATGAAAGTTAGCAGTCTTAAGTCCTAACTCAAAAAAATCACATCTCTGAGTTCAATCAAGCTTACAAAATTTCTATTTCTTATTTCAATCCACTGTCAGGAACATAAAATCTAAAGCAGCCAAACTACAATTGCTTCACTTCTGCCAGTCTTGCAGATCAGGCCGACGGTCTCAGTGACTGAACACCAGAACAAGACACAGGACAAATGATTTTCATTTGGGGACACAAAAATTTCTGCAACAAGAAACACTACAAACAGCTGCAGAATAGACTACTGAGTAGCAGATAATAACCTTTGAGCACACAGCTAAAGCTATCAGGCACTGATATATGTATTTCCAAATATACACGTTTAAGTACACTAAGAAAACCTTAAATTAACCTAAGTTATAAAATCAAGAGGTGTAAAGTCAAGAAACAAGATGTTTAGCTGACTGGGTGAGTATCCACCAGTGCACTTATGATAAACGGCCTCATAGTCATACCACAGAGAAAGAAAAAGGACACAATATGCCACTATAAGACAGAAAGACATAGCTTATTAGATCTGGCCAGCAAACACAATTTCTAGTTCACATGAAATTTCACCGGAGATGGAGTGGGGTTGGGTTGGTGCAAACAAGACTTAAAATCTACAAAAATGTTTGAAATTTCAGCAAAGGTTGGAACTTCTTGCATGCAACAGCAGCATGGAAAAGATGGCAAGAGCATTAAAGGCATGGAGGAGCAGGTGGGATCCTTTTGGTGTCAGTCCTAAGGCACACCCACAGAGTAAACCATACCAGGAGTCCGGGTAGCGCCCCATGGAAGCCCACCTTAGACACGACGGAAGGCTTTCCCTCTTTTCCCCCCCAAAATGTGAAAAGTTTCAGATAAAACACTGCAGGCTTAAACCAGCCTTCTGGAACACTTCCGAAAAGCGCTTATCATAAAACACAAGAGGGATGTATTAGAGATCTGGCACAACACAAATCTGAACAGCACTGTCTGCTCCCACCCATCCCTGGAGCCATGCAAGGCTGTGGGAGTCAGCCTGCCAATTCACTGTAACCAGAGCAACCCAGATTTTTAAACAGCCACTGCAGCACACTAACCTATGTAGCTAACTGCAAACCCAAACATCTGGCAAGTCTGGGCCAAACTACATGTTGCACAGTCAGCCACACAACAGATACTTCCTAACTTCAGAGCACTTGCTCTCGTGGCCCAAGTTCGTTCTTTCTGCACTCGTTTCCTGATTTTGTCAAAAACACTTCAAGTACCCTTTAGTGCATCCTTGGTGGGAGCAAAAGAAAAAGGAAACCTGTCAATTTTGTCTTTCAGAAGTGTACAGTCGCATCGGGCTAATCACGACACAGGAGATGCTTGCGTCAAGCTGGAGGGTGGGGGAAGGACAACAGAGCAACTTTCGCCACATCTCCAGCCCAGACTATCCTGAACAACTCCCAAGGCTTTGGGAATGCTTTTGGTGGCTGGAGAACCGTTTGTTCCCTGAGCTGCCTCTACTCCCACTGAAAGTGAGCCAGGGCAGCCAAATGCCCCCAACAGGAGCTGAGCTGTGGTGCTAGGAAGGATTTATCCCACCTGGCAGCCTGCACACATATATCCTAACTACTCCAGCAGTCAGCAGGAGTGTCCAGGGCAGTTTTTAGGACACTAATTTTTTTTAATGTTGTTAGGCTTCCAAAACTTTCCTGGAAATTCTTAGGGGCTGAAAGGAAACAGTAATTTGGATTTATAATTGGTCAAGCACCAGAAACAGTTTCCTGGGAGGATTGAACAATCTCTCTTTGCTGACTGCAAGTGTTCTCACAAGTCAGAGTGTAGAGAACCACTCACGGAAATCACAGAATAGTCCTTCTGTTCTGGAAAACTTTCAGAAGTTGGAATTGTTTCTGCCAGTTTCCTCTATACTGCCAAAGTGTGGGAGAAAGCTATTATGACGCTTCCTCGGAGCAAAACTCGTGGAGGATGATGCTAGCTTTCAGGAGGTAAAAGCACCATGGTTAGCAGAATCTTTTAAAAGCATTGAAATGTAGCAACTGAGCACTTAAATGGTCAGGTTGGGGTTAAAAATAAATATCTAGTAACAAGTTGCTTATTAGTCATTTGAACCTTTATATAAAAAAGTGAAATGAAGATCAACAGGCAGCGAATGTATGCTGAACATTCCGAGTTAAAGAAAACCATAGTACCTTGATGTAACAGAAATTAAAAAGGCTGTGGTTTATAAACCAGCATGGCTGGCTGCAAATCACTTGGTCTGCTACACTTCTGTGCAGCATTAACCATAGGAACCACTATAGGAATTTGTCTGAGGCAGAAAATAATCTTTAAATCAAAATGGGATGTTCCTTCAGCGACTGCCAACAGATTCCACCGCTGCCAGTGGTATACGTCAGTAACTCTTTCACCAAAAGAAAAACAAGCCTCCCTTCCTTCCAAAAAAGACGTTTCTCATTTTGTGCAAGTTAAACTTTTGTTAACAGATGCCTCTCCAGCAGAATTTTGCCTGCCATACAGATATCTATGATCTGTTCTCCCTTTGCTTGAGTATTTCCTGGTGAAGTGGTATTTTGTAGATCTTTGGTCACTCTCATGGAGCTTCATACCAGGCTTGTATATAAAAATATGAGAGGAATATTTTCTCCTCACTGAAATGAGCATGTACATGAGTTTATATGTGTATAAACAGAAACTGTCAACAAAGATGTGACTGCTAAATTTAACAGAGAATTACAGAGCTGTTCTTCTGACTAGCAGAAATAAAAACAAAACTCGTAATTAAAATATGCACAATACTAAACAGGGAGGCATTCACACTGTTTTCCAGTACTTAGAATCCAGTGCTTGTCATGAAAAAATCTACAAAAAGATGTGTACTTACTTACAGAACAAAAACGTTATTACACTGCTATTCATTGCTAACTTAGTTTATGTATAACTTGGGAACTCAAAACAGCACTTTTTTTTAAAAAAAACCATGAATAACAGATCAGTAGACAAAAAAAAATTCTCCCCATATAAGGAAATAAGTTAAGGATCACTGATATATTCGTCATTATCACTTGCACATTCATCTTTCAACTTCTGTCTTGACTCTTAAATTAATTTTCTTCCATCTACTCCTCTAATTCTGGCAGATTCTGATGACAGGAATGTACTGTTTAAAGGGCACAAAATAATTCCTTTCTTCTCTTTGTATTTCTGATCTATCCAAACCTATCTGAAAGGAATATATACTCAACTTTAAATTATGGCGTGCAAACTATGGCAAGCGTAAGTCATAAGTGAATCAATATAAAGAGGTCATGTCTCAGGTAACAGTATCTTAACCACCTTTACAAATGTCAAAGTTTCAGGAATGCTTTAATAAATGTTTAACCTGATGTGCACACGTGCCTTAGACAGACAGTCTGAAACTGCTTATGCTATTCGTGTTCTATTTGCTGCACCTATGGAAGGGTCAAAGAATTAACTTGAACATAAACATGGCAATAGCAGCAATAAAATCATCATTGCCATCATCACCTCAGACGATCACTGTATCCAACATTGCCAACATCATCTTCAAGCAGGCTTTCAGCTTTCTGCATACCTCCTAATTTTAGATGCCTTTACAAAACTCCACCTGCTCAGGCAGAAAAGTTGTACAGAATGGTGATAATCTGGTGTTTGTACAGAATGGTGACTTTTCCAGCTCCCTGTTCTTCAGAAGAAATATGTAACAGGTCATAGATTTAGGGGGCCAAACCAACATTTCCTAGAGCAGCCCGCAAAGGCACACACTAAATCCATTAGCAAGTGTGTTTACAGCTGTTTGCTACTTGATCAGTCAACAAAATCCACCAGGTAACTTACCAGTCAGTGCCAGTCCACAAGATGACTCCGTTTACTCTGTCACTTCTTCCCTTCTCAGAGAAGTTGGAGTATAGCTGTTCTGGGAGAAGCTGCATCCCCAAACACCTCTTCCTATGCACTGTAACTTGCCAGACAGCACCATCCACCAGCACTCAGCACTCCTCACGCTGTCTCACCCTCCTGCAGTAGGCAGGAGCAGTGCCTCTCAAATTCCCGCTCCCCCCGCAGGCAGCACCAGGCTTGTCTTGCAGAGGAAGAAGGCTGCTTGCGTGGGCTGTAAAGGAGTATCCACCCACAAGAGGTGTCCCAGCAGCTCAGTCCAGCCACTGCGGCAAAAGAGGCTAGAACAGCCTAAGTTAATCAAAATTTGGTTTGTTTATTAGACAAATGCAGCCGTGGCCTCCCAGCTTTCATCCTAAAAACATCCTTAGACCCCAGCCTTTACTGGAAGAACTGGAAATTACACATTGCTCATCAACAGCTCCAGTGGCAAGGTAAATACGTATGCTGACTCTGCTCCATTCTGAATCTAAGCGTTTTCCCATACAAAACAGGTTTACTGAGAAAGAAGAAAAAGAAGCCATAAATATACAGCTTGCTGCAGACTGCACAGCGACACCAGAGTGCAGCGTTCCCAATTCTCATCCCAGGAACTGGAATGCAGATCAGATGCCAAACAGAAGAGAGGGTTTTAAGTTTCCCAGTGCACTGCCTGGAAAGATTTATTTGTAGAGAGGGGCAGGATTGTTTCTCCCCTCAACAAAGCAAAGAGAGAGGCCATCGGCTCATGAAACTGAGTAAGTGTCAATGAAACTAGATCTGGGAAGGAAGCTTTGCCCTGCTGAGTGCAACAGAGAAGGCGGAAAGGGAGACATACCTAGCAGTGATTCAATAACAAAGTAGTTAACACTGCTGCTAAACAAAGAAATTTACTTTCTAATAAAGAAATTTACTACCTACAGCTGCACTTCTGCTTACAGAAAATATCGTTCTTCTGTGTTTTTCCTAAGAAATTGT